TCGGCGAGACGGTTGGCGGACTTGTTGAGATCTGAAGACGTCGTCAGAAACGATCAAAAATAGAAATGAATGATAAGAGTGGACTCTTACCGTCCGCGCTCATCTGCGCGATGTACCCGAAGCGTTGCCCCATGTACAGCTGCTCCGCGGGCTTGTAGCCGTTGGTGCAAGTCTGTTTATAGAGCACGCACGGGGCGCACCGATTGCCGTGGCGCCCGTCGACGCTCTTGAAGCAGACGCGCTGCCGCGTCACGCACATCGCGCAGGGCCTTGGCGCGACCTCCTATGAAAAAGGGAGTCAGTCGTCGAGGCATGAGAGAAAAAGATAAAAGAACGCACGAAGTCAGTGGGCACCTCTACGCCGGCCCTTTCCAACTTCCCCGCGAACCCTTGGCGTGCCACCGAAAGGAGCGCCTCGGTGTCGTAGGCGGCGGGAGTGAACGGAGCTCGGGGCGTGGGAGCCGACGCCTTCGCAGGAGTCTAGAAACAGTCAAGTCAGTAAAAAGTCGACGACAAGAAAAAGTCGCGACTCACCGAGTCAGATTTCTTCTTGGCCGCCGCAACGGACTTTTCTGCCTTCTGAGCCTTGAGCTCGGCCTTGGCCGCAGCAACACTCCGCTCGCGACCAAGGGTCGCGGCCACCCTGCCCAACTCACTGCGTGGAGTCTTGGTAGCGGCGGGAGCCGCCTGGGCAACCTAGAAAAGAAAGAAAATTGAGTTAGTCGATGTCTGGAACCCAAGATTAGTGTCTCACCTTAGCCACTGGGGTCGGGGTAGTCGTCGCTCGCGGGGCGCTCGCCTTGCGACTGGCCTCCACCTTTGGCACCGGTTGGGGAGGCACGGACTTGGTCGACTTGGACGATCCGTCCGCGACCTTCTTGATTGGCTAAAAAGCTGGATTAAGGGGCGTGGTCTGGGAAAAAGGAGTCGGCTTACCTTGGGCTTGACGCGGGTCTCGCTGACCTGCTTCTTGGCCACGACGAAATCGCCGGTCTCCTCCCCACTTTCGGAAGTGTCGTCCATGACGATAACGGACGGGGCTACGAAAGTATGAGTAATCGACAGAGGGGGCAAGAGGAAGAACGCACTCAAATTCGATCGCGCTTTCCCCTTGGACTTGGGCCCCTGTCAAAAACAAACCAACCATGAGACGAAGGAATCACGATCGACGAACTGGGTCACTTACCTGAAGGGCCAGCTCGTCGGCCGATGACGCGTCTCCCTCCTGGACCCCCTCGTCGTCGACATCCATCGCAGTGTCGGCGACGGCGGCGGCTTCCTCATCGCTGAGGGACTCGGGTTGCACGGGCTGTGCTTGGATCCGGGCTGGGAGGGACCAGGTGGTTAGTCTAAAGATCAATGAAATAAGACATAGGATTACACACCTACGTGCGTCTTCTTGTGAACGCGCTTGGGAAGTGACCCCTGTGGAATAGGGACCGAGGTAGCGGCTACGACAAGTCAGTACCCGCGACTCTGGTGAATGAAAGGAAAGAGCGACTTACGAGTAGGCGTGTGGGACGACGCCTTGGGCTCCTTTGCAGGAGTCGCCTTGGGTCGCTTCCCCTGCGACTTCTCGCTCGACTTCTTGGCGACGGCGACCTTGCTGCCCGCGACGGCGGCAGGGGCCTGCGGCTTGGAGCCGTCACCCTTCCCCTTCTGCTTGGCAGGCCGGGACGACGAAGGGGCGGCGACTTGTTCGGTTGGAGCCGCCTGGGGGTCGATCAGAACATAGTAAACGAATGAAACAGATTACACGTACGGGTTCGACGACTCGTTTGCGTTTCTTGGGCGGCGACGACTCCTCGACTGGAGCGTTGGTGGTCAAGGGCGTAGACGCCGGCTAGTCCTTACGTGAGTGAAAAGAAGGAAGGCCAAAGCGAACAGGCGCGGCAATCATTGATCGCCGTGACTGCTCGCTCCAGCGGGCTTAGAACGGAGCTCACCTGCTGGATCTGGCGGACGTCGACGGCCATCTGCCGCAACATCATGTTGTAGGCCTCAGGGCTAGGCAGGTGGTGAGTTGGATCGACAAGCCATGAGAGAGACATTGACTAACGGCATGAACTGCCGCCAGTCGATGGCAGGCGGGTTTGCTCCCGGGACAGCTGATTCGGTGACGGCTGATGGACGGTTAGCGTGGTTGAAAAGTCGCGGTAATCGTCCTGGGCGTCACTCACGGTTGTTGTCTTGGGGGCGGGGGCTCTGGTCGGGCGCGGACATAGTGGTCGAAAAGCAAGAGTGTCTCGTACTAGGGAGACTCTCGACCCTGAAAATTGAGGGCATTTATATGGTGAACATGCCGGAAGAAGTTTGATCGCGGCAGATCACGGAAGGAACCGAACAACCAAATGAATAAGACGTGGGAACATAACTCTATGTCTCCGCGGCTTTAATAATAAATGAACGAGACGTCGACTGTTGGACTTAGACCTGACGCAGTGAGACTGTCGCGGGATTGACCAGGAGGTCAAAATTAGTGTTCCTGGGAGATGATAGGCTGGCTACCAGACGCGCTCTGCACCAGCTCTGTAAGGGCGTATTTTTGCGCTTTTTACAGAGTTTACTCTTGAACCATTCGGTGTATCGTGTCGCGGTTGACAGTGTTGCGCTCAGTAGGACTTAAGGGTCTACTGCCCAGTCGACGACTGTGGATAGTGTCGACGATAGCAAGGCAGTCAGACCACTACTGTGGAACTGGTCTTATGGGTCTACACCAGGCTCAGGGCCATTAGTGACGAACGCTTGGACCGCGACCATTCCCCAAAAAGGGATCTGTCGTTGCGTCGACTTCTCGAAAAGGGTCATTCTCTGCAGATGGGAACTTGGGCTGAAGGGCTGAGCAATGCGCGACGTTCTCAATAATAGAACTACTACTGGACAGGACTTGGCGTTACGAGACTTAAACCATCTTGTCGCGGCAACTCCCGGTTTTGAGTTGGACGTTTCCTCAGATCATGCCACGACGACGACTTGTCACATGTCAGGATCCATTCGATCACGGGACATTGTGGACGCGTCGCGGTGACACTTCCAAGTGTCACGGCGAGTCGCGTCCATACCCAAACACACTAGAAACCGACACGGCTAGATCCGTGAACCGGACCATGTGGGGGACGACTGGTGTGCCTAGGGCCATACGGCTTCTTGGGGCGCCCACGTTGGTCTCACTTGCCAAGACATACCCGTTGGCCAATCCAACACGTCGTATTCCAAAAGTATGACGCGGTGGGTTGACCCACATCAAAAGTATCATATGGACAATGGGGCGGGGTCCTGATCACTCAGGACCTGTCCGATCGTTCAACTTTTCAATTACCCTAAAAGGCAACCGATCTTAGATAGCGTAGCTACTATGCAGTTGTACAGGACTTTACTAAGCAGCGTCGTAGACAGTATAAGTAGCACGTCGTTTCTTTGTATTGGGGAGCTTTCCCCCGGACTGTGAATCACTATCATTTCAGATTGTTTTGTACAATTTGCGTGCCGCGTGATTCCACCCTAAGAAGTTCTGCCATCCCTGCCCGGTCGCGACGAGTTGCTCCCTGAGCACTTGTAGCTACTGTGATTTGAGTTTGAGTTGAGGTATCAGAAAGTCGGATTCGCCGCATCTGGTATTGTCGCGGCATTTAGTGTTGTCGCCTTTGGGCTTTGTTGAGATCGTTCCACACCTCTAGCTTGGCAGTGCGTCGACTAGTTGTGCTCGGGTTGTTTTGGTCAGTTGGCAGTGCGTCGACTTGAGAACTTTGGTTCCACACTTCTTGCTTGGCAGTGCGTCGACAAGTTGTGCTCGGGTTTTGGACATTGGATATTGGCTGTTAGTTGGCAGTGCGTCGACGCGGCATTTTGGTTTACTAGTTGGCAGTGCGTCGACTCAGTACTTTTGGTTTTGTCAGTTGGCAGTGCGTCGACTTGATATTTGAGCTTTGCGTCGCCATCTGGACGCTGTCGCTACAAGGGATCTTAATACTTCGTATTAAGCTCTGACTTGTTATATTGTTGTTTGTGGATTGGATTAGTGTTGGTTGTGCTCGTATAGAAGATATTGGTTGAGACACCATTGTTTGCTATATATAAATTCTTGTCGTCGACTTCGTCTCCGCGACTATTGGATCTGCGTCTATTGAGAGTTGTGATACTGGTGCTCTGTCCACCCCGAAGCCCTCGCATCTTTCACACACTGAGAAGCTGATTACGAGGAGTGTGAACGTGTTTTATATTTGGGTTTACTTTCATAGTAGATTCACTTGTGAGCACGCCCTCAGCATTTCATCGTTCAAGAAGCGTTGCGGTCTGAAAGAGTTTAAACGTCATGGGGAAGCAGACTCTGCGAACAAGGATGACATTGAAGCTGACCGAGCCCGCATTCAAACCATCATCCAAGATGAAGGTTATGCTTTGTGCGACATCTTTAACATGGATGAAACGGGACTTTTCTGGGCGTGAGTGTTCTTTCTGTCGCGAGTGTGACTTGATTCTGACATGTGTCTAGGATGCCTCCGGACCGAGGACTAATGGATCGTCAGATGTCCGGTGTTAAAGCCAACAAGAAGCGCATCACTTACGCTCTCACTACGAACGCGGATGGATCCGAGAAACTCCCCCCACTCATCATTGGCAAATCGAAACGGCCCCGAGCATTCAAGGGGAAATACGGTGCCAATCTGGGTTTTCTGTATCGGAACAACGCGAAGGCTTGGATGACAACCGTTCTTTACCAAGAGTGGCTTCGGGACATCGACAAGGACATGCGACGCCAACAGCGATTCATTCTTCTCTTACAGGACAACTTCAGCGGCCACGCAGTTCCTGACGATCTCACAAATATCGAAGTGGTGAACTTCTTGCCCAATCTCACCGCGCATGTCCAGCCTATGGATGCGGGCATCATTCGCTGCTTCAAGGCACATTATCGACGCCTTTACATGCAGCGCGCATTGGATCTCTATGACCAAGACACCTCACCCGGGCAGATCTATGATTTGAATCAACTCGAAGCCATGCGGATGGCGGCATTGGCATGGGACGCTGTCTCTCCACAAACCATCCAGAACTGCTGGGTCAAGGCCGGCATTCTCCCCAACGATGTGAGCTGGGCCGCAGCATTTGCCGAGTTGGAGTTGGAGAACCTCGATCCTGAGGCCGAGCTGACAAAGGTTTTGGATCAACTTGAATCTCGCGGCGCTCTCCAGGCTTCCAACCGCATCACAGAAACCGAGTTTCTGAATCCACCTGACGAGCGTGTGATGGGAGATGCAGCGGATTCGGAGATCTTTGCTGCAGTCATGCAGGCTTGCGAGAATGAACAGCAGTCAGAGATCAATGGTGGAGATGATGGTGACAACGAAGGGCCCAACAAACCATTGACAACACGTCCCGAGGCCCTGAAAGCGGTTTCGACTCTCCAAAGCTACATTCAGAGCTTGGATGGACCGTTTGCCCGACAGCTTGAGGCAAGCTTGGCGAGATTTGGGAAGGAGACTCAGCGAGAGCTGACCGAGACCATGGTTTCCACCGCAATAACCGATTACTTCACATCCAAGTAGGCAGTAGATTATTATATGATTTTATTGGCTTTTTTAAACTTGATTTAAAGTCACTCTCTTGAAACCCATATTCTGTGATAACCCATGACTTTGAGCCTCCACCGAGTGCTATGGGTTATGACAGAGTCGACTGTATTACATCGCCTCTCCCTCACAACCTCTGATCGATACCATGCATCTCAAAACAGCATTTACGGCCCTGCTGGGCCTGCTTATCTCCGGAGCGAATGCGCATGGGCTGGCGAGTGTGCAATCATTCGGACGTGGCCCAGCCGTGCTCATGGTCAAATGACAGCATGAATCCCCAGTGAACCTGATGAATGTGGCGTACAATGCTTCGATATTCATTCTTCCTGGTGCTCAGTCCCCCGCCACGGTTTACATTGCCAAAAATCGGGAGAACGACGATTCTTCTCGCGTATGTGCCAGATCCCGATCACAGATACGCAAAGTCCCTGCTCATTGCTCGGTTATAAAGTGGCATGAATGGTACCTGGACTCGCCCAATCGATTCTACACCCACGAAGACAGCGGCTTGGTGCTCACCGTCGACCGCAAAACAGTAGGTCAGATCTTCACGTATCTCCCTTGTCTCAGCATTCCACAACAGAACCGTGTGGTGGGCACGGATGACGGAACCACGTTCGCGCAGGAGGATGCTGACAATAATGACGTTCAAGTCGTAAGCTCTTTTTTATTCCCCTTCGATGTCGTCTCGATCAGACGTACATCGCCAGATCAAGCTTCCCTATGCGGACCAAGTGTGGGATATCATTCACGATCAGAAGGACGCTCACCCTGAGTACGGCATTGTGCGTGGTAATCTTAATTCTTCCGGCCGTGGCTGATCGCGCTCAGTTGGTGCTTCGTCCAGCGGCGGGAACGAAATCGCAGCGTTGGACGGATCCCGTGTACTGAACAAAATTGCAGCATTGGATGGCCCCCGAAGTTCATTTTGGTTCCACGGGAAATAAACAGTAATTCTTTGAACTTGAGAATCTCTAAAGTGAATGGTTTTATGGGTTGTGCGTACCAATAACAGTTGCGGCTTGACGACGTGTTGAATGCAAAATATGGATTCAACGGGAATCAAACCCCTGTTGGGTCAAAACTCCCGGGTCTACAGAATTCCCCGCGGGACTCCCGCAGATCTGGCCCAGCGGAACTCCAGAAAAATCCAAGTCCTGCTCTGGACAACGACGGCACAGTTTGACATTCTGTCAATGTTAGCATGGAGTCTGATGTAGTAAAAAGTAATCCCAAACTGTTGCATCAGTTGTAGTGTTGACATTGTTGAGAACAATGAGGTCAAAGAATCAGGTCCTGTATGGAGGCCTGGAGAGCCCTGCCGCTTGGCAGTGATAGGTGACGTTGCTCACTACGTTCCGTGGGTACCTAGTCCCTGAAGGGACCAGTATGGAAACCTGAAGAGGTGCTCATGTCAAACAGTATGCAATGTGATGATTGATGAGCAGTGTCAAGACCCCGGAGCCATGCATGTGAAGGGACATTACAAGCACACAGACTGATAGATTCAACAATCCCTTCTGTTGTCTGTTGCTGTCTTTAATTGCAAGAACTGGACTTCTTGGGCCGGTCTCGTAACCACCTTCTTGGAGTCTCAAGGCATCACATATGCTCTCACCAAGAAATGACCCACTTGTCTGATGGACAAAGATGGCAAGGTTACCAACAAATCTGACATTCACCAATGGAAGACCAATGACCTCAAGGCTAAAGGAAACATGAAGCTGCACCTGAGCAAGGTTTTCAGGGCTAACATTCCTGAATCAAATGCTGTCACAGCTGCTGGAATTTGGAGCTACTTGATGGAACAATATAGCAGGACCAAGTCTGTAGACCTGTTTGCACTGCTCCAGTCAGCGTTAAAAACCAAAGTACAATGCTACCCAGCATCCTGATCAACAGCTGCTGATTATCAAAACCGCCTTCACTACCTTGCCCCAACCTTAACTGAGAAAAAATGACATCTCTGGGGACTCACCTTTAACCCCAACCCAAACCTGAACCTGAACTGCTAACCTCTGTCCCCAGAGGGGCGCAGCTTGTTTAAGACACTAAGGCCATCAACACCTATTGTGGAGGGATCGCGGCGGCGATGATGGCAATGAGCTCGCACATGCTGTGGGGATGCAATGTCAGCCGATAGAGGCCACGCTATGGCTGTAGCCATAGCGGAGTTAGTCGAATCTATGGCTGTAGCCAAGCTATGGCTACAGCCATAGATTTGAAAGCAATTTATATGGCTACAGCCATAGCATTTGACTAATAGCTAGCACTAAGGGTGCTCGTGGCAGGTTTGCCCTCTTCCAAGTACAAGTTGGACTGACGGACTGCAGGGCGAGTTCGCCGTGCACCATCAAGCCGCAGTGGAATCGGTACGATGTAGACCAGACTGAAATGCTGTTTAACAGGACCGAGGCGGGAGTGCCGCTCGTCCAGGCGTTCAACACCGATCCGCTCCTCGACGTGCGCTGCAGGTGGGGGATTTGTCATTCCAGGACTTGCCGAGCCTGATGTTATTTTCTAGATTCTGGAATAACGCCCGCCAATCGCCGGTGGGATGGTAGATCTCAGGAGGAGATGCTGATCAACCGCCGAGTCCTATCTTAGCACAGAAAAGGGATTGAACAATCTTCTCATCTCGACTCTCCATCCGCAATGTTCCACATCATTCGCCAGACAGTGAGAGTGTCCGCCTTCATTACACACAGGGCATTTTTGAGTTCACTATAAAGTATACAAGTACCCGACAATCCGCGTATTCCTGTGCTCCGCCCCTACGAGCGCCATTCCGAATGGGGATGCAGGCCCCAATTCTCCAACCACGTCTGGAACTCGCCGGCGATCTTTGCATGCCCCGCGACAGTCGGGTGTTGGTTGCTGAAGAGCGGTCAGTACAGTGAGCGCGATGCGTTCCCGCGCGCGGCAACGCACTCTGGGAAGACATCTGCGAAGGTGACCCAGCCGGTGGTGTTGACGAGGAAGATGTTCTTGTCGTCGTGCTCCGTTCTGCATCGCTGCGGTCAGACGGAAGGCGGGAGCATGGACGAGAACGGGACGTGCTTTCTGAGATTCACGATCTTCTCGTATTCTCCGGGGTAGTAGTAGAAGGTCGGCGCGTCGGCGCTTGGCCAGCCCCACTGCGAATCTGGATTGAGTTCCATATTGGCCGAGCGGGGGCGGAACGTACGGGCGAGAGTACGAAGATAGGAACATGTGCGTACTCGCGCATGGATCGGAGACGGGCCAGGAAATCGGTGTAGACCTGCTCATTCGTCAGCTTTGGAGACTTTGGGAGGAGGAAAGTATCGTGACCTGGACGAACTGATCCGCAGGGACGTTCTGACCGGAGTCGTTGGCACTGAGAATGCTCTAATCAGTTCCGGCCCGTGGGCCGAGGGGGACGGACGCACCCGATGTGGATCACGAGGTGCGTGGCAGGGGTGTCTTTTGAAAAGTCCCACGGCGTCGTGTAATTATGGTCCGTGGTGTAGTAATACCCCGTGTCCTCGGTCTACGAAAAAGTCATCAAGGTGGGATTGGTAGCCGAGACTCCGTCGCGTACACGGAAGAACTGGAATGAGAGGCCGTGCGCGTTCCCGTACGAGAAGATGTCCTGTCCGGGAGGATCAGCCGTGGTGATCACAGCCGGAGATCTGTGACTGGCGTACGGTCAATGCAGCACCTGGCTGTGCTACGACAACGTGCTCGGCCTTGTACTGCTCCCCGACGAGGAACGGCCAGGCCTGATCGACACCCTTCGGAAGGAATTGACCCTGCGCAGCATGAGCACGGGCTGGGGGTGGGGGCGACGCGAAAAGTTTACGGCGGACAGAGAGTCTCCGATGAATTGGAACACCGTTCTCGAGGGTGTGTACGGGACCAAGGACGCTCCCTGCCCATCAAGAATCACACCTCGCACGGATAATCCTCGCGACAGACGCACCTCGTTCAAGATGATCTCCTCGAGATTAATCCTATTCGCCTGCCAGCCCTCGACATTGACCCTGACGACCGTCGACTCCGACTTCTTCTTGCCCAGAGCGGACGGCGGCAACGGGATCTGGTTGACGCCCGCGGAGACGTTCGCCGTAATGAACGCGCCGTAGTCGACCGACACGCCGACAGCCGCGTTCGGCTGCGTCGTGTGCGGCCCGAGACTGATTGCGAGCGATTGGAGGTTCGCGACGTGCAGCTTGAAGCCGGAGCCCGCCCTGCACCACGCGGTTTCGCAACGACTCGGGTGCATATAGGGAGGGGCGCGACGCACCACCAGGTCCCGGGCGACGTGTCCCACCGGCCGTGGAAGTAGACAAGCGGATCCGTGTTCGAGATCGTCACGTTTTTGGGGCCGGCCATCGCGAGGCGGGCGAACAGCAGAGCGAGCGCGGCGGCACTGAGATGGGCTCGCATCGTTTTGCTCTCCACACGTCCTGGACGGGAGACGGTTTATGTAGCCCCGAGGGCTTCTGTATGACTCTGGGGTGATGTTCCGAGCATTCTCCGAGGTTACAGAAGAGTTCAGAAGAGAGGCCTCGTGAGGGGGTGAGCTCAATGGATTCGCGAAGTCAGGAAGCACGTGGCACGAGCGCAAGCCGGAACGGTCCGATCACGGCGATCAGCGAAAACTACAGGATCTACGTTACCGTCCCCCCTTACAAGAAATCCGACAGCGAGTGTCCCTTATCAGCGCTTGAAAAAAAAACTAAGGAAATGTTTAGTTTGCGCTACGAACCAAACCGAACTCCGTCTCAAATAGCGGAACCCTAGTCCTTTCTGTGGCAGAACGTGTTTTCTAGGATTCTTGGACCAAAGTTGACAAGGACCTTGGAGGTTGTACTTGAAGCATCATCATCTACGTTTTGTCAATTTTCTGGGCTCGGTGCTCGGCACCCTCTTGGGCTCGCATCAAACTATCACCGTGGGAATCGAAAGTTGAACTTCAACACGGAACATTGCGCTCACATGACCCTCATCGATCGATCGTCGCTGATGGATTTGTCATCCTGCCAATCAGACACCTCGATCTTTTGCCAGGCATATGCTCCTCGTCTCCCGCCGACTCCCCCTCCCCCTCCTCCATCCCGGAAGACAGCGAGCATACATCGCACGTGCTCCTACAAAAAAGCTCTTCGTTCAGCCGTCGTACATAACTCTCCCGTCGCGATCCGCAGTGAAGATGATGACAGACACGGACGGAGGCAAGCCCACACGCGCGGCGTCACCGGGCTCCGACTCGTCGCCGTCCTCGCGTCCAGCAGCGAAGAAGCCGCGACTCAACTCGCCCGAGACGCCACACGCAACGCCGGGCACCGCCTCCCCCAGCCTCAGAGCGAGCGACGCGACGCAGCCGAAACGCGGGCCGAAGAAAACGGGGCCGTCGAGGACGCAGAAGCGCAAGGCGCAGCACGGGGCGCTGCCCGAGTTCTGTTCGCACGACGACGTGCTGTGGCGCGAGATCAAGGAGGTGCTTGGGGCGGAGTACGTCGATGGGTGCGTCGAAGCGGGCACGGGGCGCGACTCGCCGCTGGCGTACCACGCGGAGGTGGAGGTGGAGGTGAAGGCGATCTCGTCTACAGGTGTGTCACTTCAGTGTTTCTCCGTCTTGAGTTCTGCTGCTCACGGGCACGCGTGCCAGGTAGCGCGGTGGGGGTCGTGCCTGGGTCCGCTGTCCCATGGGCAGTGATCGTTCCGTTCTCTTTGCCGGGCGAGATTGTGCGCGCCAAGATCTACCGCAACGCGAGGATGCATTCGTTCGGTGACTTCAAGGAGGTGGTCAAGCCGAACCTGGAGTGGAGGGACAATAGTCGCGTGCAGTGCCAATACTTTGCCAAGTGCGGTGGGTGTCAGTATCAGGTGATTGCTCACTCTAGGAGAACTACGCTCTGACGGCTGATTCTATTCCAGATGCTGTCGTACGAAAAGCAGCTTGAACTGAAGCGCGATGTGGTGGTCAAGGCGTACCAGAATTTCTCCGGTGAGTCTCCTCGTCGTCAATCTGCACGAAGAATCTCACTCTTCAAGGTCTCGAGCAGTCGACCCTACCGACCATCGGAACGACAATGCCATCACCCGAACAATACAACTATCGCACTAAACTGACTCCTCATTTTGAGGCTCCGAACTCGAAGCAGAGGAAAGAGCAGAACAATCGTCAAAGCGATACTGAACGGCCAGATTGGTTCAGGATCGGATTCAACGAGAGCGGATCCCAGAGGGTGATTGACATTGAGGTGTGTTAGTTGCCTTTTTCCTAGTTGTGTTTCCAACAGGGTCGCAGGACTGCCCGATTGCAACTTCGGTCATCCGTGAAACATTGCCTGCGGTACGGGAAAACGCTATCAAGTGACACATCATTTCTATGTCGTGACCACCAAGCTGACGTCCATCTCCTAGAAAACTCTTCACCTACAAAAAGGGTGTTTCCCTCATCCTGCGGGACTCGCTACCCTTGTCCACCGATAAGGACGTGGACCCCGAAACCCACATCTGCGTGACGGATCACAAAGGGACCGTGCGTGAAAAAGTGGGACCGTGCATATTCGAGTACCCCAACGGTTCCTTCTTCCAAAACAACAACGGCGTGCTACCTTCCCTCACTGATTACGTTCAGACCCAGATTTTCTCTGATGCCGGTAAACGTCCGACGCATCTGATCGATGCCTATTGTGGCTCAGGCCTCTTCGCGATCACCCTTTCCCCCCACTTTGAGCGAGTGGCGGGCATCGAACTCTCCACGGAGTCGATCCGCGCCGCGACGCGAAATGCGCAACTAAACTCGCTCCCGTCGTCCAAGATCTCCTTCCGCGCGGGGGACGCCGGCGACATCTTTCAGGTGATCGGCGATTTCCCTCCAGAGGACAGCGTGCTGCTGATCGACCCGCCGCGCAAGGGCACGGACGAGTCGTTCATCAAGCAGATGCTGATGCTGCGCCCGCGGACGGTGGTGTACGTGAGCTGCAATGTACACACGCAGGCCCGCGATATCGGGATGATGCTGCGCGGGTCCGAGGCGGATGGGAAGAGGCGATATGTTCTGGAGAGCTTGCGTGGGTTTGATTTGTTCCCGCAGACGGCGCATGTGGAGAGTGTCGCTGTGTTGAGACTAGCCCCAGCTGAGGAGTAGGTGTAGCAGTCGATTCGATTGTTTAGCCTGGCATATTCGATCACACGCCGATGGACTGGTGAAAGGGCACTTAGTAACGAGTCAGGAGGGGTGTGGAGCCAACGTCAGTCAGTCATTCGATCTCTCCTAGAATGTTGTCAGGGAGACTGTAGTTTCATCTGGCAGGCATTCAAATTGCGGAATGCAGTGGTTGATGCAGTCCTGTTGGACATCAGGACTGCAGAGCCACGAGTAGCAGATTCCGCGGGCGGGGTTCCTTCCACACGTCGTGCGCCGGAGCTCAGGCATGAGACGATGAATGGAAAACGTGTCACGATGAAACTTGGTGACAATACGTGGTCCCCTGAAGCGTTGACCCGCGGATGAATTCCAAATTCGGTTCCACTGGATTAAAAACTCACTCTTTTTCGCTTTCTCTGTCCCCGCTCCTCCACCCCCCGAAAGTTCCTCTCTTTCCGTCCACATGGCCTCCTTCGCCCAGTTCGTCTCCATCACCGCCAACTCGGGTATCCCAGTCAGCGTCCGGTACACCATCTCGACCCCGACTGCCACGACCTCGAAAAGGATCGATCCGAGCCTACCCACGGTCTTGTTCCTCCACCCTCTCTTCCTCGGGCAGACCTGTTTTCACTGTGAGTTGTGAGGGTCAATTGCAGAGAGTTGATGGAGTATTGAACTGCGCCAGATCAATTCGCCGACTGGAGACTGCGGAGGTTCAATCTCGTCGCGCTGGATCTGCGGGGACACGGGGATACAGCTGGGGTGGTGGATGAGGACTACGATCTGTATGATGCGGTTGAGGATGTGGTCAAGGTCATGGTACGGCTTTCATTTTTTGACCGGTTGAAACTGGAAACCAACTCGACGGATGGCTATTCAGAAAGCGTTAAGACTCCCTGCTTCCCATCTCGTCGGCGTGAATTTGGGGGCGTCGATTGGGCTCGAACTCGCGGCGACGCATCCACGGCTTGCTCTGTCGCTGACGTGTATATCTCCTCCCGCATGGCGACTCAAGGTGTGCTGCGCTGGCTCGATCGTAGTTGGAATAAAACTGATGCGTCACAGAAAGACGATTTGGTCGTTCAAGAGATAGAAGACATCTACGAATGCTTGGAAGTCGGCTTGTCAAAACGCTGTAACCGGTCAGCTCTGCAGCGCGCAGCTTGCGGCATGCTACAACTGGGGGTAAACGATCTCGAATCTCCGTTGCTGGACACGTGCGTAGTACTTGCCCCCTCGCCTGTGATAATCTGGAATGACTTTGTGCCCCTTTGCAGATTAGTGAACTTGAGCATAACGACGGCTGCGAACTCTTGGGCGGGGAGAGCCAAAGAGCTCTCCCGCGCTACTGTGCGTTTGTTCGCCAGTGGACGTCCGCGTCCTCGGTCGATGCTCCGAGGGATCAGGTGCCCGGTATCCCTCGTGCGCAGTGGAGCAGATGTAGGATATGTTCAAGAATCTGTGGACGAGATATACGAGACGCTGCAATCTCAGGGCACGCTGGTCAGGACGTATGATTTGCCTGATGCGCCTCAGTGGGCGCATCTCAGCCACCATCTCGAGTGCGTTTTGTCCTCCGTTTGTTTCATGGAAAGGTGCTAATCCAGTGGCTGTTTGGTAGAGTCAATCAACTGATACATGATATCGTCGTCGAATTCGCCGCCGGGAGGGTACCCGTCGGGAGCCTCTTGCAAAGCAAGCCGTTTCCGGTGGAATCTCCTTTTGAAGACGTGTTGTGTGGGGATCCAGGTTCGGATTCGGACGACGAGGATTGCTCGGAGTGAGATGAAAAGCTTCAATGGTGAGCTGCGTGTATGAGTGGTGGAAGCCCAGACCATACTTTAATCCAGCGTCTCATAATCCTTACCCTATCGCAAACTAATATTCAAATACCACCGGATGGATGACACCGACCCTGTCGTGAGAGACAGCTCGATTTTTCTGATGTGCTGATGCTCCCAATCGAGGCCAGTGCCTGGCCAACGTTCCAAATATTCGTATTTCGGTGGGTGAGTAAGCTTCTCTTTACTAATTCTACAACATTGAAGACGGCCGGGGAAGGCCCTGGGCGTTAGATCCACGAGCAGATGATTGTTTCCATGATAATTTCCCGAAAGACCTTGATTGTTGTGTGATTAAGAGGGACATATAATCGTAGCTGGGCCTCCTTTGAGAAGGGAACAGGTTTATCAGATGACAGGTCTTCGAGAAGGGAAGAAAACGGTCACTCCATCACGTGACTCTTTGCTTTGGCTTGTGGCTGTACGCTTTACTCCCGTCACGTCTTCCGTCCATGAAACCCTGGACTGCGGCTTATGTCGGGGCCACACAATGCTTCCGTCAAAAGAGACGAGGCTGAAACTCTCAAGGGCGAAGCGCTCCTCGAACGGCCTGATGTCGCCCGGAGTCATTTCAGAATACAGTGTATTTCTCGGATTCTGTCAGTCTTAACCCCTTGGGCTATGCTTCATCTCAACGATTAGCACGCCTCACTTTCCAAGGTCGTCTTAGAGGCGCCGCCGGACACTGTTTTAGGTCTCGTAGCGATGCAGTTCTGCTGCGGTCAGAAGATTCTTATCGATGCTGTCCTCCCGGGGCATTATGGTGCCACTGGTTTGGATTATGCACTTATAGCGAAATTATCGGTCTTGCAGAGCTACTTTCAGCTACTCGGAGAAACTGACAACGAATCCTTCGATGGGAATCCCATTCTCTCCTGATTGTCGTGAAGCATTCATGCACAATCATGATCATCCATTGTTCGACGTCAAACGCGGTAGCCTGGCAGCGTCGGATGGCAGGGACAGAAGAGCATGGATCCGGACAAGGGACGGCCCGTGTTCCTTTCCTTCGTTCTGCTTCGAATCCTTCTCGCCACTCTTTTGCTTTCCCCTTCTTTGTCTATCTATTTCTTCCCGCCCTCACCCGCCGCGCGCGATGCAGGGTCGCTCTTTTCTTTCGTTTTCTGGATCGCTGGGTCGCCTGATGGTCTTGGGGGGCTTGGCTGCCGCTGCTGGAGCCAAAGTGGTCCCGGTTTTACAGCCGGTGCGTTCCGTTTGCTGAGCTTCCGAACACACAAAAGATCATGGCTGTTCGTCTCGCAGGGATTCTTCTTCGACTACACCCCTCCCGGCCAGTCGCCGCTTATACCGATCACACGTATGTCCGGAGCAGGAACCGCCACTCAGATGGGAGCTGAGGGTATTTCTAGAGCAGTGCGAGACTATACATTTGAAATGGGGCCGAAGTACGTCTCTCTCGTAGGATTCTTGTCGAGTGGTACTTATCTGTCCGCCAGACGGTGCACCGGGGTTAGCTATCCGTCCGCTGGCCTCAAAACATAGCTGACACGGAATGATAGACCCAATCCGGTAGCACCTTATTCGATGGTGGTGTTTACCTCGTGGGTTGTGTCTCACGCTGGAAACCTCGATTTCAATCTGTGCGACCAGGAAATCCATCACACCATTCACAATCGACGCTGGAAATGGCTTATCTTTTGTAGGCCTGGCTTTTCACTCTGGGTGGACAATTTCACTCAAGACACCTAGGACTGGCAGGTTCCATTTAGTCCGGGAACTCAGGTGCGTTCGATGGCTTCGAAGGGATAACAATCCCCGCATCTGATGAGACTGCTCGGCTAAATTCTGGCAGTATCAGATCTGCATGGTGCGTTATCGTGCCGTGTTTCATGCTCAATTAATTATCAATGGCTCAAACCTCCCAAGTGGGACAGCAACGGGACACCTGGAGGTTGCGAAGCTATGTATACTGTCATTCAGAATTCCACGGTCGCAACGCCTCAGTAAGTTGATTTCTGGCGCGCAGTTTCTTAGATGATTGTGTGATTGCTGAGGTGCTCATTATAGATGCCACAATGTCACCTTTCCCACTCTTCTTCAGGTCGAAACACAGCAGACTGCTGCTCCTGGCGGTCCCATTTCTCAGTTTGGATTCATTGATCAGGTTCGACGAGAGAAAACAGTCCCACTCGCACGTGCTCAATATCCATTCCAGTGTACCGATATTCTTGTGACACCGAAATCCGGGAAACCGCCATTTACTTTTTCAGTGAGTTGATGCTTTCACTCGGAGGTTGGCTGTTGTGATGTGATTGGAAGGTATATCCGCCTTTACATCCTGCTTTCAACATTACATCCAACTCCATGGATACCATCGACTGGACGATCTCACTGGTGAATTTGATTACCAGAAATTGATGTAAGAGATTGATCATTTATTCCCATAGCCCTGGTCTTATCCTTTCTTCATTTCTCTTTCGAGCGCTGATGGACAAATGTGGTCTAATGGACCTCTCCATGCCGGAGGATTCGGACCGACGGATTGCTGTGAGTGTTAATTTGCTTTAGATACCTTCGTCTCATCTCCGACTAGTGGCTCCGAATACCATGTTAGTTTTTTATGTTTTCGTGTGCAACCAATCTGACCTACACACCCTCAAGACCGATTAGGAAAGCCCAATCGATTGCAGCTGCAGCCGGATTCGGCGGTGCCCTGGGAGCATTTGCCCTCGGGGGTGTCGTCGCCTTCCTCTATCTGCGCTACCGCCGTCTCCCGCCACCGCAGATCGACGCGTTTGTCCACGACTCGGTCACCTCCCGCAGCGATTTCAGCGGCGCGTCGCGGAACAGGTCGGACTCGCATACCACGATGAGCAGCCTCGGCGCTTCTTCGGATATCCGGCGTGGCCGGACGTATGTGCTGCACCACGACGCCGGCCGGGCACCCGTCACGGTGATCACCGACTCGGAGGAGGTCGTCGAGCTCCCGCCGAGATACCACAATGGCGTGGTGCCTGGTAGTAGAGGCTCGGATGTCGTGGGTGGGAGTGCAGACCGGTTACCGATGCGCGACAAACCTCATCCGCCCCTTCCCGTGACCCCCTCGACATCGGTCAACTCGGGTTCATTTTTGTCGGCTTCATATTTGGGACCGCCGTGACAGATCGCGGCAAGGCCTGAGGCCTTGGGTTGAAGAACATACTTTTATCTATTTCAGTAGACGAGTGAATTCACAGAAAGTCTGGGTCTGCTGCATACGTGAATTGGAATTCAAATTCGGTCTCCCTCTCCAGGTTCTGCATCCGCTCCAGCAACTCAGTCGACAAAGCCCCCAGACTTTCTGGCAGGTGAAACACCTTCAGATCAAAGTCGCCTGTGGTTTCGGCCTGTACAGGTCTCCGTACCCGGCCGAGAACGAGCTGCTCCAAGCTTTGTTCGGAAAAGACGATGTGGGATGTCAGACAGAGAAAAGTCAAGCGCGGCACGAGGTCTACCACCACCAAGCCGACCAGAAGATCATCCGTGATGAAAAAGTCGTCCAGGTCGTCATTTCCCTCCGCGAGCAACAGATCCTCCAGAAGAGGCAAATTTTGGAGACATTCGAGCAGCTCATCAGCTGTGATCAGGACTCGGGAAACCTCCAGGAAACGCAGGCTGGATCCGAGCTTGGACCTGAAAATGAAAGGCAGGAGCGCATCACGATCCCACCATATCGCATACGCAGGGTCTTCGAAACGGCCTTTGACAGCAAGAGAACGGAGACCGGGGGATGTGAGAGCATGGAGCACGCGTTCCATGCAGCTGACACCGCCGGATATCACCAATGTCAGGCCCTGCAGCACATCGGATAAGACGTGATGCCCGAGCCGAGGAATTTCCCCGACATGGATGATATCCGGGACGTCAACCATCAAACACACGAACGGAATGGGCAGCCGTGTCAGGAAGGCAAGTGCGTCACTGGTCAGCTTTTTATAGTCCAATGTCCATTTGAAGAGTTTGAGCTGCGGCCATGGAACATCTGTAATACGGTCGCAGGGAGCCGTTGCATAGAACCGGGTGAGACTAGGGGCTGCGGCAAACAGGCTGCGGTACTCCGCGTCCCAATCTTGCTCCTCCCACTGGGTTGCGATCTCCAAAAACCGCAGCAGCGGAATATTGCCCTTGACAGGGAGAAGTAATCGGAAGGGATCGTAATCGCTGTAGACGTCAGTCCACAGTGTGAAATGCGTCCAGCGCCGGGAATGAGCTGTCAGCAGGTTCATCACATCAACGTCCACCAGGGTGTTCGACACAGCGATTTCAACGCGGATCGGGTCGTTACCGCTTTTCCGGACGAGGGCAGTAAGGGCCGCCGCTGAGCGCCCGGTCCCAGGCCACAGGGTGGTGTCCACGATCAGCACCCTCCATAAGGACGGTGTATTCAAGGTGAGAGTATGCCACAGCGAGCATACCTAGAATTCAAATCAGGATCTTTCGCGGCGCGTGGTGGAGCTGAAAGGCCGCACCTGGGAAAATTGTATCAAATAGTTCTTTGAGAGCCGCTCCTTCTCCTGCTCAGCTGTGGTTTCGTCTGAAAGGTCCTCGATGGGTGCGCATAAGTCGAATATCTCGGTCCAGATTTCAGTTGGAACGCGCTGGGGCGGAAAGAGAGAGATGTCGTGAGAGTTCATTGAGCGTGAGTGATATGCTTGAGTTAGATCTCAAGTGCAAGTCACCGAGCTTCACTACTGATGGTGGCCGCACAGCCACCTCACTTCTTTTCTACCTCCGATTCGCCTGGGCACCAAGTTTCATTCCACCTATTTGTTCGGCTGCACAGGGCAACAGCTTACTGCCCATTTCATATTCTGACAGTGAGTTTTACTGCTTCGAGTCCTGATTACATCTAACAACCTTCCACAGTCGCTATTCAATATTATACACGGCATAATCAACTACGAGTACTCGCGTCCTATCCTTAATAAACGTTTCGATAATGGTCAGCTCGGGCTCTTCACTCCAAAACTTAGTTAACGACTCCTATGTCCCCGGAATCTCCAGTCGACTCAATATACACGTGTCCCTGAAGACGAGCATGACGACTCGCAAATCCCGGAGTCACCCATCCGCAGTACACCCCGCGTTCTCCAGCCCGGCCTCACGCTGCATACGGACTCCAGCTACACATACAGCTACGGACCGCCCGGACTCGCAGGCCTCTGGGCAAACGGTTTCGTCCTTATATGCGCGGTGTTCGCGTCGATAGGCGGCATGAGCTTCGGGTACGACCAGGGCGTGGTGAGCAGCACAACCACCGTCTTCCCGCCAGTGCGCATGAATGTACGCGGGGACTCATGTGTGCCAGATAGCTAATGTCCTCGTGATGGATGATTTCGTGAGACGGTGGCCCGTAACCCCATTACAGAAGGGCGCGCTCAGTACGCACCAGACAGTCTTGCATGGCCTGTGGCTCATCCATCTACCTCATGTCAGCTGCGGTCTTGGAATTCGGGGCACTCGTGGGCGCGCTAGCATCAGGTGTATTGGCCGACAAGTACTCTCGGAGGCACTCCATCTTCGCGGCATGTGGTGCGTGTTCTCTTCGCGACCCACCATCAACCTTCCAATGATCAGATTCTAGTGGTTTTCACCATCGGGTCCCTGTTTCAATGCCTCGCTCAGACCATCGTGCACCTCTTCATCGGCCGCGCAGTCGGTGGCATCGGGGTCGGCGCTCTCAGCATGTTGTCCCCGTTATACATCTCCGAAATCAGCCCGCCCGAAGTCCGCGGCACGCTCATTGCCCTAGAGCAGTTTTCCATCGTGTTGGGTGTGGTCGTCGGGTTCTGGATTGGGTTCTTTACGCGGAACAGTGGGTGCTCAGCTCGTCATCCCAACGTCCGTTCGGCTAACTAGATCTTCCAAGTCCCTAGTTCGGCGTCATGGCGGATTCCCTTGGCCGTTCAGATCATCCCTGGCTTACTTCTCGCGTTTGGCGCCATCGTCCTTCTGCCTCCTTCTCCGAGGCTGCTCGTTCTCAAAGGCCGATATGAGGACGCGGAGGCTAGCTTGATCAAGCTACGTGGACGGGATGACGATTTGACCAGGGTGAGGGCACGCTCCGAGGATGTCACCCCCGTGCTGAATCTTCGCAGCTCGAGATGCTCGAAATGCGTGTCGAAGCGACATTGATCAACGAAGCAGACGGGAAGCACTCGAAGCGGAACGAGTTATCTTCCTGGGGTCGGCTGTTGAGCAAGAAGTACCGGGCAAGGACGTTGATCGGCGTGTTGATGATGGTCTTCCAGCAGTGGAGTGGCATCAATGCCCTCGTGTACTATGGGCCCACGCTCGTCAAGAGTTTCGGTCTCAAAGGCGACACGGTGGGGCTCATTGTGTCTGGCGGCATTGGAATCGTCCAGTTTCTTGCTGTGGGACCCGCTATAGTGTATATCGATCGACTGGGTGAGTGGGCGTCGAAGACGTGATCCCTGCGTGCTTACTTCTTGCAGGCCGGAAGCCTTTACTGCGAGGTGAAATGGCGCCATACTACCTCCACACATCGACTAACCGCATCATGTGCAGGTGGTAGTACTGTTATGACGCTCTCGCACCTGACCATCGCCCTCCTTGTGTACCAATTCCAGTCCGACTGGGCTTCTCACCCATCCGCGGCTTGGGTCGCCGTCGCTGGGGTCTACACATTCACGTTTGCTTACGGAGTGTCCTTTGGCCCGATCGGATGGGTGCTGCCGAGCGAGGTGTTTCCGCTGTCTGTCAGAGGCCGCGGTGTGGCGCTTTCCACGGCCTCAAATTGGATCAACAACTGTATGTATCCAATACGCTCTTCATTGTTTGAAATTGAGCGCATGCATGCATAGTCTTCATTGGCCTGGTGACGCCGGTGATGATGGACATCTCTCCCTCGTGGGTGTGCGCTGGTAAACGCCTGCTGCCCGCTCAATTGCGTGATATAGGGCCACATTCTTAACCTTTGCCTCGGCATGCTTCGCTGCGTATCTTTGGTCAACCTACGGAATACCTGAAACAGCCGGGGTTGCTTTGGAGGACATGGATCGGGTGTTTGGAACGGATGCTGGTCGCGAAGATGCTGCCAGGCGCAGGCAGGTGCGCGGCTGCGTTTGTCGTTTGCTCATGCTTCACTTCATTAACCATGCGGATAGCTTGAGGAGGAGCTTGGGCTGCGAGCTTTGCTCGCGGAGAGTGCCGCTTCGTAGGGCTTCGTACGTCTGGCTTTCTTTCGGTTTATCATATGTGCTTTCGGGACTCGGACCACCGATACTATCGCCTCGCATGGGCCGCTATTCTCCGTCTGCACTGCAAGAACGGCGTTCCTGGCAGCATCTCCATCTTAGCCGGAAATAGCTTTAATCTAAGTTTAGGCTAGAACTCGCCCGGCTAGAAGCCGTCCGAAGCTCTTCGGGTGACAGGTACCGGGCAGGATTCATAATATACATATGCTGTCCTCCGGGCTGCGTTCTTTCTCCCTTCCATCGGCTTCTTCTCACCGTCCAGACGCCCGTTTACTGCTCCTTCCTTCCAGCCATGTGTCGCAGCCTCCAGCTCTGGTACGGCCGCTCCGTTCTTTCACTCTCTTCACTGACCATCCTCGCTTTTCAGTTTTACTGCTCTTCTCGCCGCCTCGGTGGCCGCAGCCCTCAGAGTGCAAGCGCCAACCGCGGTCGCCTCAACTCAGATGACGAATATAACGTGGACCCCCGACCAGCCCTGCACCCCTTTCTCGGTTGAGCTCGTCCACAAAGCTTTCGTACGTAGCCAGGTTTCAATGCAACCTGTCTGACGTCGCCCAGCACGACACGTTTGCCATCGCCAACAACGTCAACTGCACCCTTGGCCAAATCTCTGTCGTGATCCCGGATGTTCCTTCAGCGTAAGGAGTCTCGATAGTGCCTCTCTCCCTCTCTGAATTGTGCGCCGCAGATCAGACTATAGTCTCGAGTTCGTCAATGTCACGGACATCAATGATGTCTTCGCGACCAGCCCTGGCTTCTCGATAGCCCCGGCACCCAGCACCTCAAGTGCTCCCCAATCGAGCACTGCTTCTGTGCAGAGTGATAGCGGGCTGGCTGGAAGTGCTACCTCGTGCGTCTCCAGTGCTCGCTCTATATCGTCTAGCGTGTCTAACGAGGCCCCCACAGAACGACGCCGGCGAACGCGACTCCCTCGTCCCCAGCAGCAAGTGCTGCTTCCGTATCGGGATCGGTGGCCTCAGTGGCGAGTTCCGCTGCTTCCAGTGCGGCCAGCGCAGCTTCGTCAAATGCTGCAGTCGGTCGTGCACCAGGCACTGCAGGAGCAGCGCTCGCTGTTTCTGTGGGACTTCTCGCTGGCCTTTGGGTGTAGGGCGCATGACTGTTCTATGAAGCTACTGCTCCGACGTTGGACATGACTCGTTACTCTACTTCCCCATAGTGTGGTATGCAGTCCTCCACACACATCTATGTGATATTTTCCTGGCGTGCACGCACGTGTGTCGTGTTGCTGACAATGGCAGTGCCAATGCTCTCCATTTCACAAGAGGAACCCGCTTTTGGCTGTCAACGTTGGATAAACTAGATTAGAGTCCCCCTTCCTTTCATTCCACTCCGACCGCCCGCTACGACAACGTAGAGAGTTGTATAAGACCGAGGGATGCTGACTGAAACGACACCCCTCCTCCCGTCCCTCGCCACGGCCGTCTCCGTCGTCCGCGAGCGTAAGGCTCGTTTCGAATGGCTCGCACCGCTGCTCCTCATTACCGGTCTCGCGCGCGGCATGTCGATGTATGCACGATTCGAGGGGTACCAGCACTCGATATGCCCCGGTGCGCATCAAATGCCTACTCCCCGCCATCAGCTCATGTAACATCACTTGCAGCCGAACCGCCATGGTCGCCCTGCGGCTCTTTCACGACATGGCTGGCGCTGCCCACCACATTCACGTACTCGCATGCTAACGCTGAGTATCTGCGCGTTTACTTCGACCTCTGGGCGTCGTTCGCGTCGTTCGTCGTGTCGTTCCTGACGATCGGGTTTTGGAGCGGGCTCGGTGACAAGCGGGGGAGGCGGATTCCGCTTCTTGGGGCCCTGTGTGGGCTGGTTCTTGGGTGCGTGCTTCTCGCTGTGAATGGTGCTGTACAAAGTCTGAAGATTATTCCTGTTCAGGGACCTCGTGCACATTCTTCTTTCCTGGATACACATTGCACCCACTGATGCGGGTGACATAATGTCTGTGGGGATCATGCTCGAGGGTGCGGTGGGCGGTGGATATCTGGGATACTTTGCTGCAGCGCGTGCGTGAGTCGTCGACCGCTCCTGATTGTAGGCTTTTATTTCTGATCTGGGTCGCAGATACGCCTTCGATGTCGCTGAAACACCCATATCTCGTGTGACGCTTTTCGGGCTGAACGATGCGCTGGGGCTGGCCGGGTTCTTCTTCGGCGCCATTCTCGGACATCTCGCAGGCTGGCGGATTGCCTACATCATCTCTGCCTCTCTAGGGCTCGTCTCGCTCGCTTACGCGTTCTTGGTGCTCCCAGAATCGCTCCCCGTCTCGAGCTCCCCCGCTTCCTCGTCACTTCCCGTTGCCGGCACAGCGATGCCACGCCGTCGTCGGCGTGCTTCTCCACTTATATCCATTGTACGGCCGATTACGACGTTCTTAGGAAATGGGGTCACCAAGATGTATCTGCCGACGTTCGGCCTCGCGTTTCTGCTGTATTCTTTCTCTGCGGGTGGAATGGATAGCGGGCTCGTTGGATATACCACGTTCCTGCATTCTCTTCCGGTGTGTGACGCAACCCGTTCTTCTAAATCCTCACAATGAAGCTCTGCAGACTTGGCTGGTCCTCCTTACACCCCACGTTGTGTCTCTACTCGCGCTGCTCATCCTTCTGCCCCTTGCAGCGCACGTGTACACTCTCAAGTACCGGACGTCGTACCAGTCGTCGGAACTGCTGTCGGTCTCGTTCCTGCGCATCCTGACGCAGAACGCCATCTTCATCGACCTTATCTCGGCGCTGGGGATCGTCGTGTTCTGTCTCCCGGACCACGCACACGCTTTGTACGACCTCCTCGCTGTCTTCCACCCACTGTCTGTGATTGCGCGCCCGGGTATCTGGGCGCTGGGTGCCGGGTATCTCGTCTCGCTGGGCAAGGAGCTGGAGGTGGGCCGGTTCTTTGGCGCGCTGAGCGTCTGGAGCGGTTTTGCTGAAGTAGTATCGGTGCGCTACCTCTGCTTCTATCTGCGCGTCTTTCAAGGTTAATTGTGTTGTCGCTTCTCAAACAGCACTTCTTTTATGGACCCGGGAGCGAGATATTTTGGTTCTCCACGTTCCTCCTCGTGACCAGTCTCATGACGCTGCTGCTGTCGAAGTCAATTCCAGGAGAGGATGAGGATGGTCCTTGGGATGATTAGATCTATGATGGACTGCAGATATTTATGCGTGCGACCAGTTCAACTTCACACAGGCTCAGGATGATACAATCCGGTTTTCTTCATTGTTCATTCATGTTTCTAAACGGAGCTCACGATTGTAATGATTAACGCCACACCGGACCATTTTCAAACATGAGGGTTGCTCGTCTGGCCGCATCTGGCCACCAGTGGACAGTGCACACTCCTCGGGGTTGAATATCATCATGTGAGATATGTTCAACTTTGCCCCATCCCGATAAGTCCCTGGATCTTTTTCACGCATACGAAAAGATAGGCGCTCTACAAGTTCTTTCAGAGAGAGATCTGGTATGAGCTGCTTTCCCACAGTGTCATGTGAAGCGGTGAACGGAAACCAATTGCTCGAGCGGATAAAATCCGGCATGCTGATTGTTCGGGGAATAGAATTAATGTTGAGCAGTGGCGTTGTTATGTCTGCGTCGATTAGTGGCTAAATCACTTCGTTGTGGTGTAATAGCTCCGAAGAGCCGGGTGTTCGATCCACCCCGCGGACAGTTTTTGTCTGACAGACCAAAGCTGCTATCATGCATCGGTCCTTTTCTCCTTTCCATGAGCACTCTTGGTCCCCAGTCAATAATCTCCCACTGTTGCAAAGATAAGTCAACATACTCTCTCCCCCGTTCCTTGATCACAAGACCAAGATCCGGACATTTACTATAATACATTACAAATGTCTTCATTGTCTTTAGGCGCTGCCATTACTGTGCATCTTGTCCTTGAGCTTCTGCATCAGTCCACTCTTCGTTCGCTTTCTGCCCACATCTGCTGCATCACCACCCTGGATGGTGTACACCTGTTCCTCAGACTCCTCGTTTCCTAACCCCTCGACAGCGGAAACCGGCACATTGTCCTCAACATCAGACTGCAGCCCCGAACTCGGCGTGGTGGGAAAGTCGCCGGTAGGGAAGTTGTCTTGCGGTCTCGACGAGTTCAACGCAGCCGCGCCCAGACCTGCGTTGGCCTTCGGTGATTCGACAGGCAAGTTGTCTTGGAGCCGAGACGAGTTAAGCGCAGCGCTCCCCTGAACAGTGAATGCGCTTCCGGCCTCGTCAACATCGTGATGGTCGCCGATGGGATAAATGTCCTGCGGACGGGACGAGTTCAGCGAGGCGCTGCCTTGTATAGCGACAGGTGCTCCGGGAAACGACGAGATTGGACCCGTCGGTGTCGGCGGCGTCTCGGAGCTCAAGGTGCTGAAAGAGTCGAGGGATGGTGGGGGACCGGATGCCGCAGACGACATGGATGCAGCGTAGCCGCTCTCTACGTCGGTAGGCAGCTGCGGACGCACGGGTAGCGAGTCTGCGGGCAGACGGGGGATCGAGTTGACGCTACCCTGAGGAGATTCAACGAAGCGCGACTCGCCGGCGCCGGGGAAGGAAGGGATGAGACCTGGGGTGGGTTTGGGCCGAGAGTCGTCTGCAGTGGCACTACTGCCGTCGGTGGAGGTGGTATGACCGGTGTGCACAAGAATGCTATCTTGTCGTGAATCGGCAGTCAATGAACCGGTAGACTGAGGGAGCGGTGGGAGAGAGGGAGATTCAGGATCTGAAGACGTCGCTGGGTGAAGGAACTGCTCAGAACGTAGAACCCTCGAGGCCATGACCAGAAAGACTCACGCAGGTACGCAGCAACGCCCGGAGGGAGATATGCCCTTGCAGCAGCCAGCGCCTGACCCGGAAGAGTTTCAAGGATGGAAGCCTGCTGCGTCCCATCCGCGCTCCGAGTAGGTGGAGAGGGGCTGCGCTCGCTCTCAGAAACGTACGGGAATGAGCCAGGGACAGGTGGTGTGCCGGGGGTGCGCGTGCGATGCGATGCAAGGACGCCAGAAACGTCCTGTGCCCATTCATGCGTCGGAGTAGGCAAAGCAGCCATTGAGATCTGAGGTGCCATGCGCGGTTTCGCTTGATTGGTGGTCATGACTGCGATCTACGGAAGAGAGATGGTGGTAATGGAGATTGCTTCACGCCATTTATATGCATTACGTTCCAGGTGCTGAGGATGGATGACGCGCTGGAGCACAGACATGACGTTCATTTGGAGTCGTGGGTGCTAAGGGAGGCATGGGAAGCAATGACTCAGCGAATGATTGTTAATCAAAGAATCGTCTCAACCGCTGTTCGTGGCTATGTCTGAATCCCCACAAGAAGGCGACCGCCTCAGCAGCATGGCGCAGTCTGGGAGCGCGCGGGGCCCATAATTTCGAGGTCACTCGATCGAAACGAGTTGCTGCTAGGTATTCATGAACAACTCTGCGTGAGAGTGCTTCCATATCTTTTGATCGTCAATAGTCACCAGTCTCTCTCCAACACTGGTCAAGGTCAAGTCTTGTGAGTGGCAATGCAAATGCAGCCTTCGTTCTCGGTAGTATCTAATTGGTATACCGGTCAGCTACAACGACAGTTACCCTGATCTACACACTTCAGGCTCGAATAACCCGAGTGGGGAAGCGTCAAGTTTCGGATCCTGCCGAATTGATACTGACTCAGACATCTGAGAAACGACCTCATGGACCTCCAAGATTGCGCGCTTTTCTGTGCTAGTGGCAAGTTCCGGTGACAGCTGACGAGTTGTTTTCCCAAAATACCGGAGATGCTCAAGAGCGTACTAGCTGCTTACGGAAGATAGATGTTGAATTTATCATGAATCTTCAGTCGCCTATGAACGATCACAAGAGTTCAGACCACCATATCAGTGTTAGCATTAGAAGAAATGTAGGTCGAAGTTCCGTCGAACTTTCGAGCACACGGGTGTCGGAAACCTCAGAGTTTTGAATGTCCGGCGGGGAATCATAAGTATCTGACGCCTGAGCTATTCACGCCAAGCGATGCGACCCTCGCTCGACAAACCTGACTAGTGGCGGCAATCGGACGACAATCGTGTTTTCCCCATGGAATAATAATCAGGAGACCACTGGTCATCGGAGTGATTTTTCGGAGGTCGGAAAGATTTTGCCTTGTGCCTGTGGCTGCTGGGGCGGACGATGCAGGAACAACATGTATGTAATATGGACTATGGACTACGGTCCGATCTTCTTTCTCTCTACGCCAAGCTTTCGGTCGCTCGAATGAGATCTGCCACGGCCATGGATCGAGGCCGAATTGAACACGTGAAGGGAACGGGGCCACTGAAGTCAACCCATTAGCACCGAACTCGAGTGGCCGTTGGAACTGACTACTAACCTCATGAAATGGGGGATATCTTCGAACGTAGGCTCTATCTCTTGGCCGTCCTCATCCAGCGCCTTAGTTATGTCGAATGCAGAAAGGATTGAGGCGATGGTGATCCAAACGGATGACATGGCCATGAATCTCCCAGGGCAGATTCTCCGGCCGAACCCGAATCCGGCAAGGTAGAGGGGCGCGGTCTTGTCACTCGGCTCCAGATCCAGGAAGCGCTCGGGATTGAAGTCAAATGGACGGGGGAACAGTTTCTAGATAGAGGAGATTAACTACTTGAAGGACCACGGATGGACATCTACCTCGTCATGTACGATCGCCCTTGGCGCACAGGGATTGGGATCAGGGTCAAAACGACTGCCGGGAAGAGCTCACCAAGTATTCGCCATCACAATCGAGCCAGCGGGGATCCTCCACCCCCTATACTCGTCTTCCACGGTCGAAAGGTGAGGGAGGTTCACCGGGAACACGTTCTTCCACCGGAACACCTCTTTCATTAGCGCTGTGGTATACGGGAGCCGGGCCTGGTCTGCGAACGTGGGCAGACGCTCCTCTCCAGCCAGCAGGGCATCGATCTCTGCCTGCGCGATCTTCTGTGCTTCGGGGTTGGCAAGCATCGCAAGGATGAAAGTGTTCACTGCGCCGGCGATGGTGTCTGAGCCCGCAATAAAGAGCGTCGCGGCGGCGCCCTTGACGGTCTCCTCATCGAAGTATCTGTCCTCTTGGGCGGTGAGTTGGAGCTCATCAAGACTGTCGACAGAGAAGGATGATGACGCAGTCCCGGCGTTCTTGTCACCGTCAGTTTCAGCACTGGTGCGTGGAAGGTGGACTCACCATTCGACGCCGTACTTCTGCAATCGGAATGTCCAACGCTCTGCGTCCGATCGCTTTCCATTCCCTAGCCTTCCGCTGGAAACCAGCCCCTGGAAACCACTCTGGAACGTATTTCAGCAACGAGATGTAGTCCTGGAAGTTCGTCGCATCACGTTGATAAACAGAGGGTAGAGCGACCCACCACCCAAAAGGCCCCCTGAGTCATAGCCTCTCCGCCCACTGACAGAGCCTGGACTCCCAGTTCAATGTATGGATCATCCTCGGGAAGCACGTCGATGCCATAGGCGACGGAGATGATGACTGCGGCCGCTATACTGTCAGAATCATGAAAACAAGACCGCATGTAAAGTCAGGTGTAAGACTCACTGCTTGACGTGCAGCATAAAATTGTTCGGGTCGACCAACAGTCGGCGCAAGAGTCCATGAGCAGCCTTGATTTCCGCACCCTCGAGCCTTGGAGATACTCTAGAATTGAAGCCCTCAGTGATAAGCCGTCGCTGGGCCCGCCTAGGGGAATGGTGGTAAGCTTTAAGTGGATGAGGAGATACCGCACGCGCCATTGGTCTCCTGTTCGACAGACATCCCGGAATCAGAAGACGAAGAACCGGGCTAGGTGAAACTCGCTCTCACCGTACGGCATAGCACCTGACGGATAACAAAATGATCAGATGAATTGAGTGAGATGAGATCTATGTGTCTCACCGAGATTGAAGGTGAATGCCATGAGCTCGGACAGCATTGTTAGCTTGGGTCTGGAGGGAAGCAATTGGTCGTGAAGCCGTGCTACGGCACAGTCGCTCACCGATCGGAATAATTATGCGATCGCTTCTCGAGCAAGTCTTCGACGGCCTCAACAGATGACAGGACAATCAGCGGAGTCCCTGCCATATCAAGGTGTATGACATCCGAGCCTGAGTCAATGAGTGGGGATTTCGGGCATCAAGATGGTCAAATGCCCTACCGAGTTCCTGGCTCAGTGCCTGCAGTCTCGCCCACTGACGATGAGCATCCAAGTCAAAGAGGTTGCCTACGAGAGGAAGTGGTCGCGGACCCGGGGGAAGGGGGAGGTTCGACCTGGTGGTGCGCAGCCAGCGAGTAAAGTAGACACCAAGCGATACCGCACCGGCGGCCCAGGCTAGAGTAGAAATTGAAGTAGACCCCATAAGCTCAGACGACGAGATATCTAAAGATTTACCGTCATCCTTCTTATATGTGGTAGAGCAAGGCACTAAAAAAAGACACACACCCTATTCGCCCAAGGGTCTTGCATGCCAGAAATCCGGATTGAGGACGGTCCGGTGACAACACCAAGCGCAGGGTCTCTGATTACCTGGCGCCAAAGACTCACATTTCCAACATGTTATCCGGCAGCAGTGGTGTCCCGTTCGTCCGGCAGGAATAGTCACATAGCGTGACATACGTGACTGTAAACCAGGCAAGTGGCGTATGTATTTGGATGTCCGATTCTGATGCGGACGGAATCCAACTCAAAATTGGCTCCATGTCCGATCCGGATGCGGACGATATTGGGCTCACCAGACGCTGATGTCCGATCGGGCATACAGACACAATATCCTGGTCTTATATGTCGATCCGTCCAGCTTTGACTTCCCTTTGGACTCAGATCCTGGTAAAAGTGTCCAGCCCTGACGCGAGCCCTGTGTGGGATGACCAGAGTCTTGTAGCTCGGGTAGGACAATTTTGATTTTGGAAACAAGGATATTCGCTTCGCGGACAAATCAGCCCTGCAAGCCTGAACCTCTACTGTAGCTCTGAACTCATCTCTGAACCTATTCAGGTGTTCTTTATGGTAATTGTTTGGTTTTGGCGTAAAATAATAGTTCGAATAACAGTAGCTCAATAATAAAATCTGCAGAATGGTGTGGTTACCGACACGAAGATGAAATCCTCATTGCGTGTATAAATATTGTTTAACGCCGCAGTCCCCCATTATGTGGACAGATAACTTCTGTACGCCGGGACAAGTATGTCTCCTGGTCGCCTTGCGTGCGGTACCGCTTACGTCAATTCTGCGGCAACCCTGGATGTGAGTGCGTCAGTGCCCCCTCAAATTACAAAAGAGCGACATTTGCTCACCAACTAACTCAAGCTCCCGGTCGAGCTCGATATCTGGCTCGTCTATGGCGATGTGCTCAAGAGATTGCGACGGGACGGTAAATCCCGATGTCGCTCCACCGAACGGCCCGTGCTCTTTCACTGGAGAAGCGAGGATCTCATCGCGGGACGGGATCGCCAGCCTGGAAAGGCCGATCGAATGAGTCAAATCCAGCCATCCTCACGCAAGGCAAACTCACACATCCAGTTTGCGATTCTCGTTCTGTGGAGCAGCCTGCGCACGTACTTCCTTGCGGAACTTTTGCACCGCATCAACAATGAGCTTCTTCATCTTGGCCGGGTCGTCCTCGTTCTCGAATGCGAAGTCACACGGCTGCAGAAGAGGGTCCAGAATTAGCACCGGGCCTTGCCGAGAATCGGAACAGACCGCACAACATCGCATGCCGGTTCGTCCCGCGGATCGCGCCACTGGCCAAAATACGGGTGTTCAAGGGCCGCAGCGCAGGTGATACGCTGGGAGGGGTCGAATGTAAGCATCTTGCTGAGCAGATCCAATGCCAGCGGGTTGGCGCGTGGAAATATCGTGGCAAACGGAATGCGTGGTTTGATGGGCAAGGCGCGCATGTAATCTTGGGCCTGGGAGGATTCGTGTTTGGGATGAATGACAAGCAAGATAATCAGAGCACGAACGCGCGGGGAACCGACACGGCGGAGAGTCTCCTCGGTCGGGGTCCCGAGGAGGTTCAAGATCTGGTTCAACTGGTCGACGTAGCTGATGTCGTGTGTGAATCAAAGTCCAGCGTAACACTGCAAACACTCACTCTTTGCCCTTGAACAGAGGTTTCCCCCCGATCAGTTCCGCTAATATACATCCGACAGACCATATATCAATGGCCGTGGTCTCAGAAACAAAGCACGAGTGAATCCAGGCAGCGCATTGGATTTATAAACCGACTCACGTAATTCGCGAAGCTGAGCATGATCTCCGGCGCCCGATACCACCTCGTAGCCACATACTCCGTCATGAATCCCTGTGGCCCGCCGGCCTTCGATGCACCGACTCCCGGCGAGTAACCCCTGGCGAGCCCAAAATCACAGATCTTGAGCTCGCAATCGGAATTCACGAGCAGATTCCCCGGCTTGAGATCCCGGTGCAGGACATTCGCGGAGTGGATGAACTTGAGCCCGCAGAGGGTCTGATAGACGAACGACTGGAAGTGTGCATCGGTGAGCGACTGGCCGGACCTGATCTGCAACGCGTAGAAGGAGATGATCAGGGATCGTTCTGATCTGTTACGGAGCAGGAAGCGTAGTTACAATGGCATGCAGATCAGCTTCCATGAGTTCTTCCTGGGCGCAGAATCATATATCAGTAAGATTCAGATGAGATTGACCCGCGTCCCGCGACTTACGTAGAGGTACACCTCGTCAAAGTCGCCGTCGGGCCCGGGCACGATGTCCATGTCGTAGATGCATGTAATCTACTGCACAGTCAGCCGTGTGTGACTCCCAGGTCGCGGGAACGAACGTTTTTGTGCCCGCGAAAATGATATAAGAGTCTGCCAGCGATCGGAAATGAGATCAATCTCGGGGAACGGCAATGCTGGTCTCAAGCGACGCACCGAATCTCCCTCAAACACCGCTTGGTCAGAATCCGCTGCAGACACGTCCATAAGGCATTTCAGGAGTGTGAAGACCATGCCTGACCTTGCTGTTGATTTTAGTGATCTTCTTGATCGCACACCCAGCGCCCGAGGAGCGATGTCTGGCCGCAATAACACAGCCGTAGGCGCCCTGCCCGAGCTCCTTGATAAAGTCGTACTCGGGATCGACAACGAACGTTGTCTTGAGTGCGCTGAACGTCTTATGAGCAACTGGCATGGTCAAAGGTGCGGGAGAAGGAAATGGTGCAGGGATATGACAGAGCGCAGAGACAAGACGAATACACGTTGGAAGTGCTGACAGAGCTGGCAGTTGATCAGTGCGTCGCGGAGGGCTTAAGTAGAAGTGGAGAATCGAAAGACAGGCGGGAACCAAAACGATAATCAGATCATCAACTCGCTACTTACGGGATCGGCTCTAGAAAGTGTCGAGCTGGTGCATAGCCCGGGTCCCTGCATCTTCTGTCAGTCGCCGCTCCCAGATTTCCCGGATGTCGGTGCTTCTCACGTGCGGGATATCGAGTTACGTGCATTGCCGTTCGCAGGCTTTGGCTCTGACAGGATGGCAAGGACTTCGTAGAAGTTTCCGAGTCACGGTCAATCTTCCACACAGCCGTCTGGGAGCGCATGGGCATGCTGGGAGCCGGCGGAAAGCTGGCAGCTAGAGGTGATCATCATGTGTACCCACCGAGGTTGTGGCGAACAAGAAAAAGTTGGGATCCCGAAACGCGTTTCAAGCCTGCCTCGTTTAAGATCTTTGGTTGATGGAAAATCTACACTGCCACTCTCGGGGGAATTATTCACATGACGCAATCCATGATTCATGGTTTTGAAGAATCTAATCTTATCAGCATCTACATGTGATCTCGGATCGCTCGGGCTTGCATATACTTTCATGGGGATTAGGACTATTTCGCCGTTGAATTTTCGCCGTTGAATTTACTCAGATGATCAGGCACGATGACCCGCGAAACTTCTACAATTTATGTGCGAACGTTTGACGTCCACTCTCCTTCGTTGTTTCTGCCAAGCAACTGACTCAATCTGCCATCCTGGAAATGCTGCTGACACCAGGGTGTGGCACTCAGTTCATCTATGTCCTGGACTAGAAGGGTTGACCTGAGGTGAGGAAGGCCTTCCCTGACCGAATCCATGGAGGCAGTTGCACACCCTCGTCAATTCTCTGAAGAATCCACCCAGACTTGGCAACGGCCATCAATGCTGTCGTTTGATCATCGGTAACCAAAGTAAAACTCTGACGGCTCGCTGACGGCTGCCGCCCTCTCTTCCCTCCGCCATCCTCCACTTCGATTCGAGTCGCGCCGGACGCGCCGCAGGCTGCCTTATATTCTTTCTTTTTGGATACTCTTGTCCTGGTCCTTCTCGTCCTTCCTTCGGTGTCTCCACTTTCAACACTCTATTTCGACCTCTCTCCGAATCGATTTCGCGAGGCAGATGCGCTCCTTCACTCTGACGACCCTGACGCTGGCACTCTTCGCCCTGGGCGATGCGCGGCCGCTGCGGCGTGCCATTGACGCGAGCGTGCGGTGCGCAGCGACCGATCAGACGGGGTCCGCGCTCACCGCGTCCTCGACCACGACAGACTCGTCGGGGAATGAGTTCTCTGTGTGCACGTACAAGAGCGCGGGGCCGTGTACCTTTTTCTTTGCGGTAAGTCTGGTCATGTCTTCTCTGAGGAGGGTGTGGGCGACGGCTGATCGTCGTCTTCGTTTCGGTTACAGGATGGATCTTTCTCGTCTGGGTCCAGTGACTGTCCGAAGGGCCAGGCGCAGACGGCTGGGGCCGGAACTGGAGGAGGAGGAGGAGGATCCTCCGCAGGATCCTCGTCCTCGTCGTCAAAGCCTCAGGGCACACTCGAGTGAGTCCTGCATTGGTTGTGGGGATCTATCGACAGCCATCTCATCATATCCATCCCAGTCCGAATGTCAAGTGCCCGGCGAAGGACAAGCAGGGCTCATCGGTGACTTCGTCTTCGCAGGGAAGCGAGAATGGCAACGCGCTGGTGACATGCACGTACGCGGTTGCGGGCCCGTGCACCTTCTTCACGGATGGATCCTTCTCTTCTGGTGGCAGTGATTGCCCAGCCGGACAGTCACAAGGCAGTTCGCAGCAGACGTGAGTCTGCTTCAGTGATCCGGATGCACGCAACTGAATTGATGGACAACAGGACGACAACCTCTGCACCTCCTCCTCCTCCGAAGACAACAGCCGCTCCGCCGCCGCCTCCGAAGACGACAGTTGCGCCTCCTCCCCCGCCACCGCAGACGACTACTTCTACACCACCGCCTCCTCCCCCGCCGGCGACTACCAGCACACCGCCACCCCCGCCGCCAACAACCACGAGCACACCCCCGCCGCCTCCGCCGTCAACTTCGACATCGACCACCACATCGACGACGACACCTCCAGTCACGACCCCCAGCGACACGCCGACTGTGGCACCCGTTGTCACCAGCACATCTGCTGCCGCCGCCGCGCCGCCGGTCGACCCGAGCCCCGTCGACTCGACAACGTCGTTCACGACCGTCTTCGTCACCCCGACCGACACCTCGACCAACACCGCGGGTGCGCCGGTTACGACGGACGTCGCGAATGCCGGTGCGCCGGCCGGTGGACTCGGCCAGACTGGCGCTGCTGCGCCTGGACTGCGGGCAGGTGCTTCATCGCTCGTGCTGGCCGCTGGCGTTGGACTCGCAGTCCTTTTGCTTTGAAGAAAGTTGGACACACCACATGGACTATGGACTTGGGTTTACTTTGTTTCATTATTTGTAGTTAACTTTTTATTGTGTCTGTTCGCTGTTGATTAGCACTGGTATTGCATGGGTGAGACCGAACTTGCCATCTGACAACTACGAGACCTCACCACGTCGATATAGCTCCTGGAGGCGGAGAAAGCCAGATCGCAGTGACCTGGTCCATGCGTGCGCGGGCCCATACGATTTGTTCCCTTCCTCTTCTGAAAAGGGCTTCAGCTCGGGAGAGTACTATCAGAGCCTCTGAAGCTCTCTTTCAAGGTGAAAACGGTCGAAGATAGTTACGGAGCGGCGGCGGTACATATTAAGCGGTAATCTTATCTTCCATCCCCGCTCCAAGTCTTGGCTGATCGGAAGTTCTAGGACCTCAGAGGCAAGTGTTACGGCCCTACGGGATGCGCGGGCAGTTTTATTCAAGGAGATCGTGAGGTAGTACATGGATACATTGTTTGTTGACAGGCGCTCTCAGCTCTGCATTTCTTCGTCATCCCGCCCATTCAGACCTATCAGTTTGCTTTTGACTTTGCGCTTCACCCGCTTAACCGTCGAAAGCTGTCCAACTTGCTCATCAGACGAGTAGTCGTCCTCCTCTGCATCGACAGCGACATCATTATACGCAGGCCCCGCTGCCCTCCCTTCCGCCCTGTCCTCGTCCAGCTTCGCCTGGCTCTCCTCATTGAGCAGCACACCCCCATGCTGCGCTTCGCCTCCCGCGAGCGGGTGAGTGCGTGGCTCGAGGTTGATCTGCGGTGGCACCCCTAGCGGCGCGCCCTCATACGAGTCGAGCGGAACAAAAGAGTCACGATCGGTCTCCATCGGCGTGCCGGGGGGCGACTGCCACGTATGCGGCGGCGAGCCCGCGATAGAGTCGGGCGCGTGGTCTGACCCGGCTTCCGCGCGCGTGCTGAGCTCCGTGGAGCACGATACGACGCTTGAAGTTTCGTCACGGTCGTCAATGGAGTCTTGTCTGCTGCTGCTACGCGAGGACCGGTTCGCGTTGGTCAGTGCGGCTTTGCCTGGGTTGTGCGATAAGCATTCGTACAGGTTCTCGAACACGAGGTGAGGGCGAGGGTGCGGGAGAAAGTACTACGCACGAAGGCCTAAGAATGACAGGGGTTGTGTGATGTAGTCCGTCAGGCCAGAAGTAGATCCCTCCTCTCCAGAGGTCATCGGGCTGTCCTGAGCCAAAGACTTCGAGGCTGATATGCGCGGAGTCGGTTCGTCGGTGGTGGTCATGGGGAAGATGTCTTGGGGTAGGGACTAATTGTGACAGGATCGTGCTAGCGAGTGTTGATCGATGACGTAATTGTGCATAGCCACCTACTCGAACTTCACCGACAACGCCAATCCCGCTGAGTATAACACGATGTACGAACGGTTCTGCGTGCGAGATTCTGATGATATTCATTTTACACATCTGAAAATAGCTTATCGGGCGCCCGAGTAGCTGAAGCACTCGGGCACCACGCTGTTTTAAGCAAGCATCACAGTGAGTGATGATCTGCTGATACCTGAGATAAGCCTAACTGAGAGCAGATCTCTCCACAGAGCCACCATTTGACCTACGGAAGCGATTTCTCACAAAACACCGGTCTTTGCCTGAGAGCGTGCCGTTGCTTCAGTACCATTCTGAGATAAGTGCGCTCAGAGACGACACGGTCTTCTTGGGTCTGATGTTTTCGGTTTTTGATATTCCAAGCTAGGGCGGGATTTACAGACACGGGATGATTCGAGCTTCTGTTCTGAGATATCTGAAGAAACTGCGCTGTGGTTTCCCACAACTCGCTCCATTTCTAAGATCTGTGTGAATGTGTATCGAGTTCTAAAATGCACTCGGAACGACCAATGAAGGTTTCCCAAAGAGCTCGTAACGTTCACAACGGGATATAAATATTGACAGTCATAAAAAAATAATATTTAAATAAATGTCAACTATTCTCCACCCAGGGGACGGCCAATCAACCCATTTGAGGCTGATGATCTGCCACCAGACGCCCAAGGGTAGTTGGTGGTCGTGCGTCTCAGACCTATTCCTGGTCGAGGAGTTCGAGCGTCGGAGGCACAGGCTGCATACACGCTGTCATCAATGTGGCTGCCGATCGAAATGAGTGATGAAGAAAATGTCGAATGAGTGTCCGGCAGACGAAAGCAGCACGTTTCGCCGACCGCACCTTGATATGTCAATGCATCTCGAGTTGCGGCGAGATGGGCGTTTCAGTCTCGTTTCCTGCCATTTCTTGCTATTGAATATTGAAAATGTAGCCTTGAACGAGGAAGCGACCAAGGTGCCCACCTCGGTTTGTACGGAACGGCGCTGTGAGTGCTATCCAACAAATTAAATATCGTCACGAAAGAATCCCAGTTGACACACCCTTCAGTAAGATTCTGACCGAAGCAGTTTCCCATATTGTGGTGGTTGTCAGAAGTGCGGGGAAGAGCTTTCAGGACTTTTAATAGGATTCCGAAAACGTTGCCCTTTATACCGGCTCGCGTGAACAGCGTGGTTGGTGCTGTGCAGATCCCAGAGCGAAAGAGAACAGTTCTGAACGGGAACACGTTGCGAAAAGTGTGGTGCATGCACGGCCTTACCAGACTTACCAGATAGGCTTGGTTGAAGTTTCACAGCTTGGTGGCTCATCGAGTTTTCGACGTTTTCGGCCGTCCGCCGGTGAATCATCGGATCATCGGACCATCGGAACATTGATTTGATCGTCTGTGACGCAGTACTGCCGATCTTGTGACGGAACAGACGCATTGTAAATGATGCAACATCAGTTCCTCGTTTCGACGCCGAAGCCGTGAACAAACCGAACGACTGCGAGGCGCGAGAATTCGAGAATCAGGGACAACATGGAAAATCCGAGCTGTAGACAGAGACCGCCTGTGCAGCACGCGAGGCTCTCAGAGCAATCCTGTGCTAACAAGCTCGCGAGGCGCGAGCATGACCACAGAGTCGGTGGAGACCAGTGAGCACCTTCGTCGCCCTGATACTTTGCGCCTGAGCTGGGCCGGTTCGACGCGGATCTGAGGCTCTCTTTCCATCCGACTCGTCGCTCGCACCGTTTCTGATCGGCTGGATTGGCAGCAAAGCAAGGCGAGCGCATATTTTCGAGCTTACGTTTCACGAGCCCATAATCAGATTTGAACGGGGTTGACGAACAATCAGGAGACGTCCACAAGCACTCGTGAGAGAACATAGGGTCGTCGACTTGGAGTAGAGTAGGATATGGCCATTCTACTGGCGTTTTTCTCGATGAATCCTGCTTGTAGAGCCGCAGAGCACCGACTCGAAGCTACGAGAATACATCGGCAAGGGACTGCGTTATTGCGGATATCGAATTTTCATGTCAAATTTACAGCTATCCAACTTGCGACGTCCGGGCGAATGATCAGCGGTAGTTCGGATGGCAACACCGAGCAGCTACGCACTCAGCCGCATCCAGACTTTGCTAATCTATGCAGCGCCGAGTCTGGACCAGCAGGCCGTTCGATGCCCGAGCGACTGACCGCCCATGCCCGACGGATAGGTCCCAAGCGCCTGGCCAAGTATGCTTGTAGAGGCCGAGCCGGTGATGTCGCGACACGGGTGGACGATGTCGAACTTGGATCTTCCAAGTCCTTCTCAAAGCATGGACGCGCTCGGCGTGAGGACTGGAAGGCGTTCTCTGGAACGTGTTGTCGGGATCGCGGACTCGCTGAGGCCGGGATGCCGGGCTGCGGGGTCACCCTTTACTATTTGTCTCCGCGAGTTTCGCAGGATTCTAAATTCGTTCCGTTATTCCAGTCGCGTTGAATGACGGAAGCGAAGCGATTTTGGCGTTAGCGTGGACCGCTGCGGCAGTGACCTCATCATGATCCCAACACCGAGTCGTTCTCATGACAATCCGCAAGAGTCGCAGACGTTGACTCCTGGGAGAGGACTGCCAGAGCTCCGCTGGGTGCGTCACTCGCCGACGATACAGGGGAATCAGCTATTTGCAATTTCAAGCTCAAGAACGATTCATGTTATGGATCTGAAGCCTAACGAAACAGACCAGACTTATTACATGGGCGCGGCAAACGGGCATCCCCCGCCAAGCGGAGTTTGAATTTCGCTTGGCGGGCTTTTGATGGCGGGCATGGGCATGGGCATGGCTTGTGCTCAACTTTTTGAGTCTGAGGACGTTGTTTGGTGTCGGACGAATGCTGCGGACATCGCGCTGTCACTGCGTTAGTCGCTCTGCGATCAGTCGAGTCCAGATCGTCACTGGTGGTGATGTAAGGCTTCCCACGCTAATTAATCTTCCTCGTCGCCGTCAGTGGCTTCAGAATAAGATCGATAGACTAATATAGCCATTCTACGCGTCAATGAACAAAATAACGAATTAGTTCCTTTTGGTACCACGCCCCGCCCTCCCTTTTTTCTTCGTCACTGTTGTCACAGTTGTCGTCACCTGGCGCATTCTCTTCGCCCTTTTTGCTGGCCGCGCTTGTTCTGCGCCAGCGCCCAAGTCGGTCTCGTTGTCCTGCGCGCGTGCAGCCGCATTCCGAGCTCTGGGCTTCGGTCTTGGCCTCGGTTTCTGTTCCCCGACCTGTTCTTCGTCCGTCGCGTCTCCGGGAGGCAGCACCACAGGAATTGGATGGACAGGATTCTCGGCTTCCAAATTAGCAGAACCCGCCACACGATAATAGAACGGATCGATCATGTCAGCACTGTAGATGGAGTGTGACCGCCTGAACGCTGCGATGTCAGTGCCATAGGCGCGATCTGCTCTGCTCTTCCTAATGCCAAACAGGACAACCTGCACTTCATCAACTTCGCCCCATCTTGACTGGATCATATCCGCGCTGAAGTCAGCAAACGTAGATCCTCCAAGATCCAACGGCTCGCCCAATTCTCTCTGCATGTGAAGCAGATGGAGCAGGACGAATCCCACACTGTTGATCCGGTCACGACGCAGAGTATAGACAACATCTCTGAGAGTCGGGTGACGCATAAGTGCCGCCAGCGCATCGCCAACCAGTTGGTCCAACTCCGCTGTAAATCTGAGTCGCAGCGTGTCCCGGATCCATAAGTGGGAATCGGCCTTCTTCTTTTTCTTGCGTGCGACATCCTTGACTTCCTGCCAGGCTTTCACCACTGGATGAACATCCATGTCCCATTCATGGATCACCTCCGCGATACCGTCTAGAGCTCCAGAAAAGATGCGGGACAATTCAGAACCTTCGTGGACTTCGGATGCGGGATTATGGTAGAAAGGAATGCGGATTTGTCCGATCTGGAGAAAAAATCAATTCAAACTATCCCCGACACGAAAGAAACTGACCTTGTTTTCAGGAATATGGAAGCTACCAAGCAACCTCTGGTAATAAATAACCGATTGACGCGGCAAGTAGAAGGTCTGGCTTGCATCGGGTGCACCGGGGATCCCATCGACGTAGCGAGACCAGTAAAATTCGTATTCTTCCCGCTGGCCCCGCCGATCAATGTGCCGTTGGATTAGAACTGCGGGGAAATATCTGTTCGCCACGTCAAGAGGCTCGTTGATCGAAGGAAATGCAACCGCGAGAATCGAGCCGGGACGGGGAACATCACATTCCTTGCACAAGAAACGAACTTGATCAGCTGTCCAGTCAATGGAACTATTGAGGCACTCGACATGAGACCACGTCCGGCAAGATCCTCCGCACTGAACGATGTCGGTTCCCTCTGCTTTCGCCGAGTCGTCTGCATCCTCTAGCTCCTCACCGCAGCCGTCGCATCGGAGGTGATTCAGGCTATCGCTCCCTTGAGAGCTTGGGACTTCGGGACGAGGCCCAGCATCAAGATCGTCAGAATCCCAGTCCGAGTCGCCCTTCAGAGCGGAGTCGTGCGTCTCCAATGTGGTAATTGTGGGAAGGCGAGGAGGAACTGGTCGTCGAGGACTCGGAGCAGGAAATGGAAGTGCTTGGCCCCTTCCATCCGCAGGTGAGGATTCCAGCGTGTCTAGAATCATCCTCTCGATATCTCCGCTCGACTCTGCTAGCGGCTCCGAGCTCTGACGGTGAACCAACGCATCAACTTCGAGTTGATCTATGACCGATTCCTCGTCCTCGTCCATAGGTTCGAATACGTGAGGGGTGATCGAGGTTTGGAGTTGTGGAGGATCAGTGTTGGTGCGTGCAATGTGAATATCCGCTCGTTTGGTCGCAGGAGATGGACTATCCCGAATATAATCTGGGATCTCGGACGGAATGCGAGAAAAGTCAAGTGCAATATCCTCCAAGCTCCGTGTAAATCGCTGAACATTATATTGAGAGACGATGGGATGAATTGAATTGAATTATTGACTCACGAATTCATCAGTCGTGCGGACATAGAGCGCGTAGACCGTGTTGGAATCGATCTGCTCTATGTCAGGAGGTCTGCCGAATTCGCGGAGGATTCCGCCATCGGCAGTGTCGTCATAATTGTACACCGCTTCGTTCATGACCACCAAAGTTGTAAAGTGGCCGACTTCCCTTGAAAGTCGATGGTATTTCACCATTGCGGCCATTTTATAGGCAACAGCCCCAATCTGGAACTCGTGCAAAAATCGAGGTGCAACACATTCCACACCTTTCCATGTCCACCGGCCATTTTTGTCCATCATCTGATCGAGTTGAGTGGCGCCAATACGGAGGAGTGTCGGAAATTCGATGGTAATTGAGGTAACCATAGCAGTGCATTCGGTTTCCTCTCCACACGGCACAGCGGTCATCTTATGCAGGGGAGGATGCGCGGAGCCCCTGCTCAGATCGCGAGGGATGAAATGCGCAAGATAGTTCGAAATCGTTGGGGCACCGTATTCTGGGTCAACGAAAGATTGTGCAATCACCATATCATCGAAATTGAGACCGAATTCCGAGATCGGGTGCACAAACTGAGAGATATCATGTTGCGGCCCAGATGCGCAGGTCAGATTCACTCGGAACGATAATCCAAAGTGACTTTGGACGGTTAAAGACGTCTCCATCTGCGCAAACCGTGAGATGTATGAAGTTACTTAATGAATCAAGGCCCTGGCTTACCCGAATCATCTGGTTCAGCCAAGTCCGAGCACACCCTTGTTGACCTTCCACTAGATTCCCTCCGTCCCACCGTCGATGGAGAAGCAACTTTGCTCGTGATTGTCCAAAGAAGCACGTAGCTGTGAGCTCTCGCTTCGCTGCGTCGGAGCTTTTCTTTGTCCTAAATAGTCCAGATCCAACACCACGTGTCCAAAAATGTTCGAAAATGTCACGGAGAGTTGTCTCGCGAGCATCGGTGCGAATAAGAGTCAACAGTTGATCCCGTCGAGTCGGTGTCAACAAGGCAAAGGCACGGAACATGGCCTCCAGGCTGGAGTCCAAAAAGCAGGAGTTATTATCCCACGTGTACGAAATCAGTTCAAGGTCTGACACCCTCGACACAGGTGCTTTTGAAGCAACAATCGGTGCCTTGGAGGGGTCGAAAGCCTTGATTCGTTCATCCAGGGTGAGCGAAGCAGATTCAGATGCATTCTTCTGATCCGCTTCAGCGATGGCTTTGAGACGAGTGACTGTATCAGGTGCACGACCGTCATTTTCATGCCATTGGGTGTGCGTTTTTGGCTTGGGTCGGGTACCAGCGAATTTGGGATTAACAAATCCAGCTGTATGGGTCGTCAATAAATACTAAGAAAATGATTAGATTATTTCTCACCCTTCACTGCATCATAGGTCTTTTCCGTGTCAAGTTGGAAGACATAGAGGCGACGAATTCCCTCCATGAGATCATGCTTCACCCCAGCGGCTCGATAAAGAAGCCAGTGCGACGATTCTGCCGGATTGGTGGTGTCTGGAATCCGGGCATGAAGCTCAGCAGGCATTTTTCGCAGCGCTGGGAATATCATGCTTCCGATCCCAGGCTGTATCCACCAGGTGAACCATGGCCGGAGTTCTGCATAATCAACATTTAGCTCGTCCACAGCGCTTTGGAGCTCCTCCACGGTGGTGTTCTCGCCCTCCAGGACACGGATGAGAGTCTCAAAGCGGAATGACTTGCGCTGATCGACAACGTCTCGAATTTTGTGAAGTGAGCGTTTCCAGTGCACTGAACAGCCCTTCAGTAGTGTTTCGCCCACCTCTCGCAACCTGTTTTCCTCGGCGGCTCGAGCGGCAGCTCCCAAGCTGTTCCATGCTGGAATACGAGCACACATGACTTCGACAAAGGCACTGAGGAACCCTTTCCGTTGCGCAATGGAAAAATCGAGTACCTGTCAATTTAATCCATAAGAATGAACAAAAAAAAGTAAATAAGCACTCACGGAGCTGAAGAGCTGTGGATTAAGCTCTCGACCCATTCCTTGCACACAAACTTCGGCAATTGAGGAAAGAAGTTGATAGAAATGTTGTTGATGATGATCCTCGTCCAATTTTCCGATCCATGTATACAGGATGGGGACCCAGCGCAGGAGAACCACAGAGAAAACCAGCGAGGTAATGAGAACACCCCGCTTGAAAAAATCGTGGCTTCCGTCAGTCGGAATGCCGTGTCGCCCCGTTTCAATCTCCAGAGTTTCTTCAGTCCAGGAATAGATCTGATCACGCAGCAAGACGTCCCGCATGAAAGGTGTCTGCATGACGACATATTGTCTGTTGATGAACTCGGATTTGATGATGAACGAAGTCGGAAACATCTCTTCGAACTGAGAGACAGTGTCCAGTAGATCAAAGCCAATCTGTCTGGCTTTCCCGGGTACCACAAGTCCATTACGAACCCTGCTCTTCTCGACCTCGAAACGAGCTTTACGAGGATCTCGAAGGACAGCGGTGATATCTCCAATTGATGTCTGGTTGGGCTCTGCCGCGACGCGAAGTTGCTGTGCTGTTTGAGAAGGATTGTGGCGAACAAGAGTATCGAGCTGGCGTTCATCAGCCGCAGTGAGTTTTGTGGTGGGAGGCCTCGGATGTTCGTGATCCCCATAGTGTTGTCCCACAACGTGCTCAACATGGTCATCATCTTCGTAATAATAGGTGATCCAGGTGGCGTCGCACTCCATGAGACTGAGATTGGCCTTGCAGTGCCTGCATCGCTCATTTTGATGGGCGGCTCGAGACGCGTTGTCTTTCTTCGGGCGAATAGGGCGAGAGGGCTTTCCGTTCCCATCACGACACACACAGATTAGGACACCGAGACAACTCCGTTTATTGCACTGGTACGCATAGTGTGGCACTTCGTTTTTTCTGCTCCCCGACGACCTCCAAGCCCATCCCTGATCGCTCCACTCCTCTGGCATCTCTCTAACCGGGAAATCGACCTTGAAGTTGCCATTTGGAAAGCGCACGGAGGGGATCGCAGCGTTGTCAGGGAGGGTCTCGATTCGCGAGCTTGTAGTGGCGGCAACACCCGTTTGAGCGGAGGCTTGAGTAAGAGCTGGTGCCATCGGAAATGGAGACATGCCCGGATACGGGAACGCAGGATACGGCGGCAGGAACGGATGTGGAGGATATGGCGGCAGGAACGGATGGGGAGGGTAGCTGAATGGAGGGGGTGGATACATCGGCCAAGGGGGAGCATGATCTTCGTAATTCAGTATGCAAAACAGAAATAGATAACTAAAGTCACTCACATTGAGCCGGATATCCAGTACTGAATCCTCCCCCAACGCCGATGGATTGTTCCGCAGTGGTGGATCCATCAGCTCCACCATGCACTATTTGAGGGGCAATACCCGGCTGACCAGCTGAGGTCCCAAACGCGAAGACAGCCGGTGCCGAAGAGGGAGGCGGCATATATTGATTTTGGGGACCAGGAAGACTCCCAGGAGTCGACGGATGCGCAGGATATGGCATTTGCCCTGAGTACCAAGTCAGAAGCCGTGCGACACAAAACTGTATTGACGCACCGTAGAAGGAGCCCCACGGATGGAATCCGGGAGCGAATGGTGGCTGAAAGGTATTGGTTTGAGGTTGTGCTGGAACGGGCTCCGGAGCTGAGCTCCACCCGAAGAAACGCCTCAATCGATCGAAGATCATGGATGGAAGCAAGAAGAAGCACAGCCATCGAACGATTGACCTCGGCGATCTACAATGCTGTGTCGTTCATACTTCCGGTGGGCGCCACTTGACAACTCGTTGATAGCAGAGGCGGGCCGACACTAATTACAACGTCTGTAACTGTAGAAATGCCCGCAAAAGCCTATTCTCTCAATGACACGCCCGTTTGCGCCTGCACAAGCCCGCTTGTCTGATCACATCAAACGATCAGGCATGCCATCACGCAAACGGGCATGCGCTCGATTCCGTGCACTGCACGGGCTCATTGGCCAGTCCGGGAGTCATAGTGACTACATGCAGTGTCTTAGGAACTCAAATCACGGTGGCGCGGCAACATATAAGCTCGGAATTTTAGCAATCGAGATGCGGACGCATGCCCGTTTGTCGGATGGGATCAATTTGGACTTCGGGCCCAACAAGTACACAATGTAGCCGTGTGCATTGAGCGATGGAGGTGTAGGGGTGATGTGTAGTCCTAAGCCATGGATCTGAGACCTTTTGGTGCCTTCGAGATGCTTCCTTTTTCCCGAGAGTCAGTCATCATTGACTGTGTAGAGGAAAGCTCAGCGGGGAGGTCAATCACATCTCCTCAGAGCCCCGTAGAACAATCACGACGTGAAAAGCCCTCATAATTCCGTGTCTGAATCGAGCTACAACACTCCTACGCGGTCCGATTTGCTGAAAGCCAGCGCGAAGCAGCATCAGTAACGTAGCGCGTGGCAGATCTCGTGAGACATCATTGCTAAGGGCATTGGTACGCCTGAGATGCTTAAATACAGCCTATAGGGAAGCCTACAACGATTGAATACAATTTATTTATGGCCTGAGGCATGCCAAAATGTTGGCTTGGCATGCCCGCAAACGGGCATGCATGCCTGATTGCATCAATTTCAAGCCAAACCTGTCAAATGCCCATCAAATGCCCGTTTGCGCGGGGGAATGCCCGTTTGGCATGCCCAAAACGTCGGTCTCCGAAACAGACAATTGACAGTGCGAATCCGGGCCATATCCGTTCGAAATCGATCTGATGGGTCCCGGCGGGCGGCATCTTCCTTACGTTGTCTTACGACGCGCAATTAGCACAATCCCCAACGAACAACTCGGACTCTGTGTCCGCCAGTCAATGGCTGCATGGTCCGCAGCATCGACCAAGGGTAGCTTCATTGTTGCCGGGCTGGGGGAGATCGCGATTTGGATATAAAATGAGGCATCTGCGCTATCGACAGCATATCTCCCTCCTCTCATCCTGCTCGAGATGCCTGCAATCGCCACTTTCCTTCGTCTTTCTGCTCTCGTCGGTGCAGCACTCGCGCTACCGAGCGACGTGAAGCGCACGACGTGCACGGTCAACAGCGTGGCGAGCTCGACCAACCTGAGCGGGTGCTCGGACGTCGTCATCCAGGGCTTCACGGTGCCTGCGGGTAACACGATCACGATCGCTGTACGCGTCGCTTTGGTCCCTGATCTCGACTCGAATCCTCTCGGCTGACGCACGATTGTACCAGGCTGCACAGGGCGCGACGGTGACCTTGGCCGGCGATGTCGTCTTCGCGAAGACGACGAGTGCGCGGTTTTCTTTGTCGTTGGGTGCAGTGCGGTCGTGCTGACTTGATCGCAGCCGCTGGTCCTCTCTTGACCTTCAACACCCCCGCGATGAACTTCAACGGAGGAAACCACACGATCGACGGCAACGGTGCGTCGTACTGGGATGGCCAAGGAACGAACGGCGGGACCTTCAAGCCGCACCCCTTCATCAAGTACGTGTAATTTCTGGTTTTATGTAGACGCATGGGGGCTTCAATTCGCGCGCGCTAGATTCAAGGGCTACGGCACGTTCGAGCAGTTCACCGTTCTCAACTCGCCGGCCCAAGCGATTTCTGTCGGGACCAGTGGCGGCCAAACCAACATCTCCCAAGTCATCGTCGACAACTGTGAGTGACTTTGGGGAAACTCCATGCCTCGTTGCCGACTTGCTGCTCAGCTCTGGGTGACTCCAAGGGCGGCCACAACACCGACGGATTCGACGTGAGCGCCAACGACGTCACGATCTCGTCCTCGACGGTCAAGAACCAGGACGACTGCCTCGCGCTCAACGCGGGGAGCAACATCGTCTTCGAGGACAACACCTGCGCGAACGGCCACGGCATCTCGATCGGCTCGATCGCGACGGGAAAGAGTGTGACGAACTTCCAGGCGCTGCGCAACACGGTGACGAACAGCTTGTACGGGATCCGCATCAAGGTCCAGGCCTCCGCGACCAATGCCAACGTTTCCAACGTCCTCTACGACGGGTGCGTGTCGCGCGTCGCGTTCGGCACAACCAGCGCGTATGCTTATTTCCCCACAGCAACACTTTGACTGGGATCACATCGTACGGAGTCTTGATCACGCAGAGCTACCCCGCCAACAACGGCACGCCGGGTACCGGTGGACCGATCTCCGACGTCCGCTTCACCGGCTCGCCGACGACGGTGTCTGGAACCAGCAACGCATACGGGCTGGTCGTCGACTGCGGTGCCTGCACCGGCACCTGGGACTTTTCCGGCCTCCAGATCCTCTCTGCGGGCAAGGGCCACACCCTCGCTCTCGACCGAGCAACGGTACGTTCAGCCTTCTGCATTGCGTGGTCTCGATTACGAACCAGTTTTCTGACGCGAGTACAGCTCTCGGGTGGCAGCTACTAAGTGCCCTGTTCTCGTCTGAGGCCCGTTCGAACGCACAGCACATGGCTGACCGCTCCTTACATTCATTACATCCTCGCCTTATAATGTTTTAAATATCTCTACATAGTCGGCCTCTCGGTTTCTATCAGACTCTAATCATTACTGTGATCCACGTAAAGCCAGCTCGGCTATCCTGCGAGTGCCAGAAGTGTGATGTTGACATGACACGCAATTCGAACTGGAATTGATCTCGACCTTCCAAGGTGAGTTGCACACGAACCAGGATAAGATTAGCCCCGAGGGAGGTTCCTATCTTCTAGCCATTGAGGGCGACAGTCCATCACATCACATTCCAGTCAGTGAGTGTGCTGTGTCTAACAGGGGCCCATCAGAAAAGGGGAGGCTGTGCAGATGTCTGTCATTCGAAAGTATATATCTACCCGTTTCTGGTCATGCCACATCCACGAGCCACAGATGGCCAAGCCTCACGGAGAACGCGGAGAAGGAGCCCAGAGGCCGCAGAGCCACGATTTCGCGAGCGATAGCGCAGGAGGATCTGCCAGGTGAGTGCAGCGGTGGCGAGTCACCTCGTCTGCTGTTTGCGCTGACCACTGCGTCCGTGGCATGTTTGACAGTCGAGGATCTGGAGAATTGGCACGGCTCGAACCAGGCTCCCCTAGTGAGCCCACTGTTTCCCCGCGCAAACACGAAGAACGTCGAATGACTGACCCACCGAAATCACTCGACAGTCCCATCTGATTCCGAAAAGCCTGCGTTGCGCACCCTGACCTTCTGGCGCACTGGCTTTACAGTGGGAGACGCTGGGTCACTGATGCGCTACGATGAGCCGGCCAATGCGAGCTTGCTGGCCGCCATCAACGCAGGGTCCGTTCTCTGTTCTGCCGCGGCAGCGTGCAGCTCCTGATGTAGATCGTTCGAGCGTTTTCAGAAAAGCTCCACCGGCGCTGTTCGATGTGCGACCCGGTCAGCCACTGGAAGTGCGCGTGTCAGACAGAACCACGGAAGAATACGAGGGTTCAGGGCAGGTCACGGAGCACAACAGTGATCTCCGGCATCGTAAGCCAGGGGCAGAGATGGACGGTCGTGAGTGAATCCACTGTCGAGCGTGCTGCCGACGGGGTCAAAGCATGAATTTCGAGTGGCTTTACATCTGATCGACCCAAACATTGACACACGCAAAGATGGATTAAGACTGAGGATGGCATTCTGGGAATCGAGACAGACAAATTATATGGATACAGCTGATGAATGCGCGACTCCGAAAGATCCAACCAAAGGTAAATTAGGCTCGTTGTTCTCAACCTCCTGACAAGGAAGGAAACGGAGCGATTAGTACTTGCCGCCGGAGATCTGAATAAGGGCGTCAGGTGACTGCTCGCGGGGGCTGCATCAGAGCAGGAGAACGCACCGTGGCCTTGTCCATGGTGATCGAGTGGCCCTTGCCGGCGGAGGTGATGTCGAGGCCGGAAAAGTCCCACGTGCCAGTGCAAGCACCGCAGTCAACGACCAGTCCATATGCGTTGCTGGTACCAGCGACCGTGGTCGGAGAACCAGAGAAGCTGACGCCAGAGATGGGTCCGCCAGCTCCAGGCTTGCCGTTGTTGGCGGGGTAGCTCTGAGTGATCAGCACACCGTAAGAGCTGATGCCAGAGAGCTTGTTGCTGTCGGGCGTTCGGTCAGCTACAAGACCAACGGCTGTGGCCGCGACACGCACCCAGAGTAGAGGACATTAGAAACCTTGGCATTCGTGGCAGAAGCTTGAACCTTGATGCGGATCCCGTACAAGCTGTTGGTGACGGTGTTGCGCAGCGCCTGGAAGTTCGTCACGCTCTTGCCCGTAGCAATCGAGCCGATCGAGATGCCGTGGCCGTTCGCGCAGGTGTTGTCCTCGAAGATGATGTTGTTTCCCGAGTTGAGCGCGAGACAGTCGTCCTGGTTCTTGACCGTGCACGACGAGATCGTGACGTCGTCGGCGCTCACGTCAAACCCGTCGGTGTTGTGTCCGCCCTTGGAGTCGCCGAGCGCTGAATAGCCGGCCAATCAACCCCGATAATCAGAGACCCGATGAAGCGCAGCCACTCACAGTTGTCGACGGTGACTTGAGAGATGGTCGTGGCCCCGCCGGTGGTGCCGACAGAGATGGCCTGAGCCGGCGAGTTGAGGACGGTGAACTGCTTGAACGTTCCGTAGCCCTTGACCCTAAGAAGGCGCAAGATCAAGTCCTACGCCTCCAGTGAATACCCAAGCGTACTCACTTGATGAAGGGGTGGGGCTTGAAGGAGCCGCCGTTCGTTCCCTGCCCATCCCAGTACGATGCACCATTGCCGTCGATCTTGTGGTTCCCTCCGACGAAGTTGATCGCGGGCGTGTTCAAGGTAAAGAGCGGACCAGCAGCTGCGATCGAGTCAGCACCGACAAATGCTGCATAAAATAGGAAACTGCGCACTCGACGTCTTTGCGAAAACGACATCACCGGTCATGGTGACTGTCGCACCCTTTGCAGCCTGGAACCGCGCGTCAGACGGAGTTCGATCAAGGAAAAAGACCCAGCGACACGCACGGCGATTGTGATCGTGTTTCCAGCAGGCACAGTGAAGCCTTCGATGACAACATTCGTGCATCCGCTCAGGTTCTGCGCGCTGGCTACGCTGTTGACCGTGCAGGACGCGCGCTTGCCGTTGTCGATCACGGTCATGTTGCTGGGCAGCGCGAGCGCGGCACCAACGAGGGCGGTCAGTTGAAGGAACGTCGTGATAGAAGGCATGTTGAGTGGGATGAGGAGGACGAAAAGAAAAAGAGGAATGGGTGATGATGCTTCCCGAGACTAGGACCACCCATTTTATATTGCGTTGCCTCGCAGTCCGACCACGCAAGCATCGAACGACCCATTTTTGGATGCCTCGACCCACGCGAGACATGTGCTGGACATAGACGGACTGAGTCCGGGTCCGAGTGTCGCTGGGACAAGAGCTGGTTTGGCGCAGGACAAATTGTCGCACGTGACAAATTAGGACCCGAGTCGCCAATCGTACTTATCAAAGTGATTCCGATCCCCACTTCCAATTTAATTGAGCCCGCTTACTGCGACACAAATTCTCGGCACTTGCAAGGCCTCATTTTCGGCTCAGCCTACACCACGAATATGATCCCGAATTCATTGTGCATGTTCTCGATCTGTGCACTTACTCCACGCTATACCAAGGCGACCAGTTGCCATGCGATAGCCTAGATTTCTGATCTCCAGGGTAGGTAAACCCATTGGTAGCGCTTACGCTAAAATCTCTTCCCTCCTAAAGCGGCTAGATCATCAATCGTAGCATAGCGCAACATACTCAGAACCAATTTAGGATTGCAACAAGTGCCTATGTAACAGAAACGATGCGGCCTCGATCCAAGTCCTCCCCCAAGAAACAGGGATAGAACCTGTCCGTAATTCGGGATCGCCTTCGTGAGACTCCATTTGTGCTTGCCGGCGAACGGTGAATCAGGGAGTGCAGACAGAGGTTTTGCAATCTCGGATCCGAAGAAGGTCCGAAAGAGCTAGGGTCAGCCAGCTCGCCTTTGCTGTCACCAGTGATCTAGAGCCAGGCGGCAGAATCCGCAGTCGGTTGACCCGATTCTGCTCTCTTTTTTTCCGAATTGCTGAGGGAACCTTGAGCTTATGAGCAAGTAATATAAGTACCGAGGTCCACATACAATTTGGCAGCTGAAAACAAATGGCCGGCGTAAAATGCCATGTTCTTCAAGGGTTCGAAGTGTCACATCTGTAAATTACTCAAATGAACATATCAAAGCATACTTATTCTCTTACCCACACTATCTTTTGCGCATGGATGCAAATAATGGGAGTCCAGGTAAGAAAGCTTTGAATCCGTTGTTGAACAGCCCTACTCAGGTGTAAGGCATCAAGACAGCAATGGTGGATACTGCCCATGTCATGTATTTGGTATGGTCAAACACTGTGACTTGTAAAATGACCAGAGAGCCTTGTTTTGTGTGCTGAAGAGGCATGCTTTTTTGTGATACAAAAGGTAGCTTCCAACCAGAGGATTGTAATTTGTGGTGGAATCTGAGAATATGGAAGAGGAGATAGAAATAGAAATAAGAGAAGAGAGCTTATAAGGCCCAGCCTCAAAAGTCAAGTACTATATGCAACTGGGTACCTGGCCACCACTCAATGGCAGGCCTTGGTGTAGACAACAAGATATCGTAAGTCCTCAGTCACACCCAAATAATGGTAAGACTCCATTTCACCTGTAGATGACAAGATATTGTAAGTCTCTATGGTAATGTAAGTATCTCTAAAATAGATATGTCAATAGACACATGTACCCTCAGTCGCACCCAAGTAATGGTAAGACTGAGGGAATGAAAACAATCAGCAGATCCTGTATAGGCAATCGGGCAGGCCAAACACTGCATAACACTGAATTCCGATCACCAAAGAGGCGTGCGCGCTAACACTTGGAAATCCTAAATCCAAATTCTTTCCAATTATTCTATAAGCCCTGGATCCTGGAACCATTCAAAACTCAAAATAAGTCCGAAAAATAGTGTAACCAGAAACATGAGATGTGGGCCAGCTTAAAGGGATCTAAGCCAACTGTCATGTTGAATACAGTGACCATCTTCTACCACTGGTTACTGGCAAGGGCAGTAAAGTTGGGTGGTAAAATGTGTCATGCTACTGGCCACTACCGCCTGACTAACACCCTCTACCGCCTCAGCATTTGAGTGGTGAAATTGAGTGCTAGGCAGCAAAATCAGCAAACAGTAGAACATCAGGCAGTAAAAGTGTGTACCTTGATTTCCTCAGTGTGCATATTGGCCCTCCTGTCATAATTTGATCACTCTTTCATCTTTCCATCAACCATCTTCTCTTATCTTGACATGGGTTATCTTATCACAGATCAGGGCATCAGACAATCTGGGCTAGGGGTCCAGAGGATCATCTTCATCAATTTGAGGCTGCGCAACATATACTCTGGAAGGTTCTACTACAACCCATGACCAATGCTCCATGTGCTACATAGCCTCATGACTCATTAGTTGTAGATATAACTCAGACTGGATTTGGGTATCATACTGTAGCCACTTGGTTGTATTCTCCAGTCTTCAGATTCAATTCTCTTTTTGGACTTTTTTTTGGGTTGATTGTCACATAATTCAAAGACTCCCCTCATACCCTTCTACCTCATACCTCTGACCACTGCATCCCTCCCTGCTATGCCTGCTATATCCTCTTCAACCTTATCAACCAACTCACCTTTTTACCAAATCATCTAGTCGTTCCCTGCGATCCCAGTGAAGGGTTTATCTGTCAGGGGACACTGCACTCCTTGGGCATGTGACCATGCACGGTGAAATGCTGAGGGTGTGCTCACAGGTGAATCTACTATGGAAGTAAACCCAAAGATAAACACGTTCACACTCCTCGTAATCAGCTTCTCAGTGTGTGAAAGATGCAAGGGCTTTGGGGTGGACAGAACACCAGTATCACAACTCTCAATAGACACAGATCCAATAGTCGCGGAAGACAAAGTCGACGACAAGAATTTACATATAGCAAAATAATGGTGTCTCAACCAATATCTTCTATACAATCAAAACCAACACTAATCCAACCACAACCAATAATATCACAAGTCAGAGCTTAATACAAAGTATTAAGATCCCTTGTAGCGACAGCGTCTAGATGGTGACGCAAAGCCCAAATGTCAAGTCGACGCACTGCCGACCGATACAACCAAGATACTGAGTCGACGCACTGCCAACTAGTAAACCAAAATGCCACGTTGACGCACTGCCAACTAACAGCCAATATCCAAATGTCCAAAACCCAAGCACAACTTGTCGATGCACTGCCAAGCAAGAAGTGTGGAACCAAAGTTCTCAAGTTGACGCACTGCCAACTGACCAAGACTACCCGAGCACGACTAGTCGACACACTGCCAAGCTAGAAGTGTGGAAACAATCTCAACAAAGCCCAAAGGTGACAACACAAAATGCCACGACAAAACCAGAAGCGGCGAATCCGACTTTCTGATATCTCAACTCAAACTCAAATCACAGTAGCTACAAGTGCTCAGGGAGCAACTCGTTGCAACTCGTTGCAACCGGGCAGGGGTAACAGAACTTCTTAGGGTGGAATCACGCGGCACGCAAATTGCACAAAACAATCTGATGTGAGAGTGATTCACAGTCCAGGGGAAAGCTCTCTAATACAAAGAAACAACAAGATACTTATACTGTCTACGATGATGCTTAGTAAAGTCCTGCACAACTGCATAGTAGCTACGCTATCTAAGATTGGTTGCCTTTTAGAGTAATGAAAAGTTGAACGATCGGACAGGTCCTGAGTGATCAGGACCCCGCCCCATAGTCCATATGATACTTTTGATGTGGGTCAAACCACCATGTCATACTTTTGGAATACGACGTGTTGGATTGGCCAACGGGTATGTCTTGGCAGGTGAGTCCAATGTGGGTGCCCCAAGAAGCCGTATGGCTCTAGGCACGCCAGTCGTTCCTCACATGGCTCGGCTCACGGATCTAGCCGTGTCGGTTTTAGTGTATTTGGGTATGGGCGCGACTCGCCATGACACTTGGAAGTGTCACCGCGACGCGTCCACAATGTCCCGTGATCGAATGGATCCTGACATGTGACAAGTCGTTGCCGTGGCATGATCTGAGGAAACGTCCAACCCAAAAACTGGGAGTTGCCGCAACAAGATTGGTTCAATCTCGTAACGCCAAGTCCTGTCCAGTAGTAGTTGTAATATCAAGAACGTCGCACATTGCTCAGCCCTTCAGCCCAAGTTCCCATCTGCAGAGAATGACCCTTTTTGAGAAGTCGTCGCAACAAAGATCCCTTTTGGGGAATTGTCGCGGTCCGAGTGTCCGTCACTAATAGCCCTGAGCCTGGTATAGACTCATAAGACCAATACCACAGTAGTGGTCTGACTGCCTTGCTATCGTCGACACTATCCACAGTTGTCAACTGGGCAGTAGACCCTTAAGCCCTACTGAGCGCAACACTGTCAACCGCGACACAATACACCGAATGGTTCGAGAGTAAACTCTGTAAAAAGCGCAAAAATACACTCTTACTGAGCTGGTGCAGGGCGCGTCTAGTAGCCAGCCTATCAACGGGACCCACTGTGCCCTCTTTGCCAACCCATGCCTGCTCACCTGTTGATCACCCAGCCTCCTCCTCCTCCTCTGATCCTCATCTCCATCCATGCCGACACCTGCCATCTCCTTCAAATCCCTGCAAGTGGTCCAGCCAAGCCTGATTCCTTGCACCAGGGAGTGCTACTGCCATACGCTCTCCTCCCCCTCTACTTCGGCCTTCTTTCCATGGATGTGGTCTACTGCCATACAGGCTTGTACCAGATGCCCTTGCACTCATCCGCACCACCCCTCTTCCCAGTCAGGCATTGGTCCTCGCCTCCGATGTCTCCACTGGCTGGCCCGGCACTGGCCTAGCTACTGGGCTCCTTCAGTGTGGCCTTCCACTGTTGGTGTCTCAGGGGCTGGCCATCACTGGCCCCTCTGAGCCACTCACTATCTTATCTGGGTTTGTCATTATCTACTTGTCATCTGCCATTGTTCCATGGCAGTGATATCCCATCATCATCAGTCACTTGTCACAGCTGACTCTATAGTGTGACACCTGGGCACATGGATCCTTGAACCGTTCTCTAAGGATCCCCCTCTGTGCTCAGACTCATGTGAGGTTGTTGTGTGCTGTGTGCTCTCTTCCTTCGGGCTGGCAGGAGTTGCCCTTACATTCACCTTGAGCAAACAGCACCAGGCCACAGCTATTGTTGAGCCTGACCCAAGCCTTACAGTAGCTACAAGGAGAGCTGCAGAGACCTTTGGGAAAACGCACCTTGGGATCATCAGGCACGTGAAGAGCTAGGCCCGGGATCTTTTTTTTAGCAAAAGAACCTTTCCTTGAGTGCTTGTACAGCACACAAATCCACCATTTTGTACCAATTCCCATTGTCGTCTAGGAGTCTGTCTCCTCCCCCCATCATACTATTGTTGCCTGATCTGGCGCATCAAAACCAACCTGGGCCCTCCAATCCCTACCTTGCCCTCCCGCTGCCTGAAGACAAGATCCCTGACCTCGACAAGTTGCCCTCCAAACAACCACCTGCACCCCCACTGACAAGTGTTGAC